TGTCAGTTCTCTAAAAAAAAAAAACTCTAATTTGTTCTTGATGTCATTGTTTATAAAGAGTATAAATTGCATAATAAAAACACGATTGTGTTTCCTCAATGGAAATCGTGATGATAACAACCCTTTCAGCCAAGACATTGAAAAGTCAAAACAATAAATTCTTGTCTAAAATCAATAATAATATTTAAGTTTGGTTTTTAAGACTCATGCCACCAAAATTAAAATGTGTATTAAAGTGTTTTCTGATAAGCAAGACAAATAGACAGGAGACGTATATTATTACAAAATTTTGGACGAAACCTTATCAATTGGAATTCAAGGTGGTCGCGTGTAGTCTTTTCTACTATTTCGTGTCATTTTCAGTCATAGTAGTTTTAACTACGTTTGCAAGCCCATCTTTACTTTTGGTTTATCACTTTGACATTCAAATTAATGAGGTTTTCTTTAGTTACCCAGATGTGATCTTACCTTAAGTGGTTTTAGGCTACGACAAGTGAAAGTTCTGGCCATTTGGATTTCACCTATGAGCATTACTGGTTAAAATTAAATCTCAGAAAAGCACTTGAAATCGATGTCGTCAACGTTTATTTAACTTATTACGTAGAATTTTAGTTGTTTGTTTTGCTTTATAATCTCTGATTATCGACATACTTTCTTGTTATTGTTATTTGTTTGATTTGATCTTTATTGTTACCATTTGTATTGTAAATAATTGTTGCCATGCCTGACTTTAAATGCCACTTAATGCATCATTTGAAATGAATGTGAAGGGCTTATATATTATTCATAAATGAAGTTGCTGTTTTGAGCTCAGTTAATTGCAATACATTTCGAAAGGTCGAAATAAGTTTTGCTTTCAAAAACTATTATCGGGCATTATTCATACTATTTTTTGTTGTTGTTTCTAATCTATTTAACAGCAGATAAGTAGCTATTGTGGATATAAGTTTTTGTCGTAAGTCAATTATTTGCCATGTGACTAATTCGTCTTACTAATTAGCAATAACAAATGTAGCCAAATCCGTAAAATGACTTTATCTAAACTTATCAGCTTACGAGTACTTACAAAAACACATCCATTCATGACTAAACCACGAAATTATATTGATCTTATTTACCTATGTATCTCTGGTGAATGACTCAATTTGTTCGTTCATTTTCATGTTGTGTGTGCGTTGTTAGCACATTGCTGTCAAAAATCTCACATTAACTCATTTCATAATGTGAGCTCAACTAATCTCAACTCAAACAGCGCCTCCGCATGCAAGTATGCCAACTGAAATCGGTGGCAGTCTCAACTCAAGTACAATCTGTGCTGCAGTAGTTACTTAGTTACTTACTGCTGGCATTTGAGAATTTGTATTTTGCCAGCAAAGAATTGTGCAAAGTTTGCTTATCTCAAATATTTCAAGCGAGTTGTATTTGTGGCATTTCCTTTACTTGGCTTTCTGTGTCGCTTATCAGTTTCAATTTGCATGCTGCTAATATTTGATATTTTGGGCATACTCGAAAATTAATTAAAAAATGCGCAGTGAGTATATGTTCCTTAAAAATATAATTAATATTATGAGATACATTGGAAATGCAAATACATAGATATATGCATATCTATGTGAGTTTATACGTGTATCGGAACAATTCACGTAACACAATATTGCCATTTAAGTGCACGGCACGTTTTGGTTTTTTCTCGCTGATATTTTGCAACAATAGTTGTTGTTAACGGGCAACTGGGCATTTTTTGTAAGCGCGTTTGTCATGCTGAGAAACGTAGACGGATATATAGAATCGGAATCGAAATCGGAATTGGAATCGGAATCACAATCAGAATCGGACATTGTGGCGGACAGGTGTGTGCTACCAGCGACTAACGGCTAATTTGTTTTAATGATGAGAAACCGCTTAAGTAAACAACAACAGCGACAATAAAACATGACAAATACAATGGCGACTGTCGGCTGTCGTGTAACCGCTGATGCGGGTCTTCACCGTCTCGAGGGGCAGAGGCGGCAGGTGCGGCAAGGGGGGAGGAAGCACACACTTCTCTCCATTATGACTGATAAAAGTTGTGCGTGTGTACTTCATGCTTCATTGCAAATTTCATTAAAGTTTTAAAGTTTGGTGCTCCAAACTAAAAAGGGGGTAAGCAAAGGGGTTCCTAACTTAAACAATTGAAACTTCAAAAACGGTCAAAAAACAATTTACAATAATAATAATAATAATATATAATATAATATACAATACATTATAATATGAACAACAATCATAATAAATAGGTTTGACAACCCTTTGTCCAATATAACAATGAATTTACGATGCCCATTTTGTTTGTAATTTATAACAGAAGCTATTTGGTTTATTATACACTAAATATTATTTCACGACAACATTTTAACGTAATTTGCATATTTATTTGGAGATGAATTTTCAATTAGTTGTGATTTTTTTTATGGTTTTTGCCTTTTTATTAAGATTAAAATACAACTTTTTGTATGAAGAACTTTTTAGTTAAGAAAATCTTTTTATTATAATATAAATAAATTTATTTACATTTATATATCATAATTCATTCATAGTTCATTCATTCATCAAACATTTTTCTATGATTTCCGCCTATTATTGACAGCAACATTTTTTTTTTCCTGTTTTTACGCATTTTGTATGTATTCTTTTTATTATTATTATTGTATTACTTTTTTGCTAAATGTCAGTTCCGCTTCCTAATACAACAAAGTACGCGAAATCTATATATGTACATAAGAGCTATACTCTATGCACAATTGCTATTATTATTATAATAATTATTTTTATTTCATGCCCCTTTTTCAGATACTTGTTCGCTTTTGCGCTTCATTGTTTACTTTGTTTCATTAAAAATCGCTTACTATAGAAAAAGCTTTCAATTGTTGATTGTTGTTGTTGTTTTTGTTGTTTTTCTTGTTTTCTGACTGTCAGTCAAGGTCGTCTATTGAGCACATCTTGAAACTTGAACAACAAACTCAGGTAGCAGACAGCCTGGGCATGGGGGTGGTGCAAAGGGAGTTCCATTAATCAGAACCGATCATAAAAAAGTTAATGTTTTATTTCGCTCGGGCTTCACAATTACGAGTTTTACCCGAGTCTGTCCAAAACTTGCCTGTCTGCTTATATAAATTGCACAGACTTTTGATTTCCAAACGATGATTCATAAAAATATATAATAAATATTTGTGTTTTGTATAACTTCAAGTTGAGCAAGCAAACAACAAATAAATGTAAAGGAAGCTCGCTACAAATATGCCTTTGTGTAATTTGCAATGAGAGTTTTTTGTTTTTGTTTTCTTTTTTTTTCAATGCATGACATTTATACCAGGCAAAAACTTAGTTCAGGGTCGTTGAAATTTGTAAAAGGCTTTGAAGTGAGACATAACGAATGAATTTGCGGTTTACTTGTATGCCACACCGATTTCAATTGTTTAATATATAAAATATAAAAAGGTAAAGAGAATACTCTTTGGATGATATGTAATTTAAAGGCAAACAAACTGTGCTCAGTTGAAAGCCACTTTTAACATCTTCAACAACTCGTTATAAACTTGAAAAGAGTTTGAAAATATTTCGAAAGATGGTTTAAGCCAGAAACCAACCTTATTGCTTTGGTTAAAACTTGAAGCTCTAAGTTGAGACTGACAGAGACTCTGCAAACGACATCAAGTTATTATAATGAAAATATCTTTTGCCTGGCTGCAGATCAAGTGCTTTGTTATATTTATTATATATCCAATATATTTGGGAGAGACTCACAGGGTGCGTTCTGTCAGCTGTGGAGTTTGAAGTGTCAGCAAGTGACGACAATATTTGAGTATATAGAAAATAAACAAAATTAAATAATAAATATTTTTTAATATTTTGACAAGTTCTGAAGAATTGTTGTCAGTCTTTATTTTTACGGCGAATAGACTCGAATGAGCTTTGTAAATCCATCAAACGGTTGTTCAACAACCTGGCAATTGTCGCAATTCATGGCATTAAACCGACTTACGTCGGAAGACGCCTTAGAATGGCATAAATAAAAATCACGTTGCCCGACAATTCGTTACGCCCACGATAAGAACGTCAAAAATGCTATTGACTGACCCATGAGCCAATGCTTATGGAATTTCTATTTGTACTGCCTGCAAAATGACCAAACGTTACTTTGCCTTTAAGCACGGACATGCAACTTATTTAGTAAACAAAAATAAAAAATACTTAGCAGTTAAATGGGGGGCAAACGTTTGTTTTTCCACTTTTACTTGCTGTTGACCGATTGAAAAAAATGACTTAAAAACACGTAGGTAAATCGCACCCAAGCTTTACAAAAATGACCGGAATATGGGTCAAGTTATGGAGCACAATTAATTATAGGGCCTGACGATAAGTCTCCATTGATAAGAGTCAAAGAATTCAGAGTTGAATGAAAAATGCACGTATCTATCGACGTGATATCAATATGAAATACTCTTTCTCATTCAGGTGTACTTTGAAACACTTTAGTCACTCGCTGGTTTATTGACCCACAACAATAGGCAATTTTATTGTTTTATTATCATTCACATTCTTGGGCAACCGGCAGAGATCGTCGGGCATTTCAATTAGAGCACAACTAGGGTGAACCTTGTTCACTTAAATGCGCAGCGACAAATAAAAAGCAACTACAACAACAAAAATAGTAGGCTCATTACAAAAATCTTGAAAATTATCAGCAAATGAGCAGCGAAAGAAAATTAAACGAGCAATTTTAATGAACTCATATCTTTGGCACAGTGAAGCAAGCTGGCCAAAGTAGAGGGACATATTTCTGCTAAATCATTTGGCATCTTTCCACAATTGGGATAAAATATATATAAAAATAATTTGAATTTCTTTGTTCAAATATTCATAAATATCGTATTAGTTCTAGTTTTATGAATGTGCAACTACATTTATAGTTGTGGCATCTTTCACTAAGGAAAGCTTTCTTTTTTGTCTTTTACTTATAGCCATGTCTACGCCGACCTCGCCCAAAACTCCGACACCGCCCACACTGCCGCCGGGCGTGACCAAAACGTGTCACATAGTCAAGCGACCCGATTTCGATGGTTATGGCTTCAATTTGCACTCGGAAAAGGTGAAGCCGGGCCAATTCATTGGCAAAGTTGATGCTGATTCGCCAGCTGAGGGCGCCGGACTCAAGGAGGGCGATCGCATACTGGAGGTCAACGGGGTATCCATTGGCAGCGAGACACACAAACAGGTCGTGGCCAGGATCAAGGCCATTGCCAACGAGGTGCGACTCCTGCTCATCGATGTCGATGGCAAGGCAATTGAGATGCCAGCTAAACCAACAGTGGCAACAGCAGCAGCAGCAGCAGCATCAGCCGTAGCAGTAGCAGCATCGCCTCTGCCATCGCCTGTGAGCAACGGGAGCGGCAGCAGTTGTCCAGCGAGCTATGAGGGCACCAAGCAGGAGTTGCCCGGTGCCAGTGCGAATATCAGTAGCATCAGTGTGACCAGCACAAAGCGGACTTCGAATGCGAGCAGCATTCAAAGTGGCAGCACAATGAATGCCAGCGATATGGATGTTGTCGACAGGGGCATGCCACCGGTTGTGGCAGCAGCAGCGCCCATTGCAGCGCCAATCGTTGCACACAATGGTAACAAATCGCCAATCATCAACAACAACAACAACAGCAGCAGCAACAACAACAATAACAACAACAACAATAGCGATAGCAACACAAACAAAATGATGAACACTCCACCGCCGCCGTCAGCCACCGTGGCCAATATGAATAACAATGGCAGTGTCTACAGCAGCAGCAGCAGCAGCACCACCACCACAACAACAACAACGAAAACAACCACAACAACCACCAACGGCAGTGTCAATGGCAATGGCATGACCACGCCCACCACAATGCCTGCAGTTGGCGCCACCAATGGTGGCATGAATCGAGCCGGCAGCTTGAATTTACCGCTAACCGTCGCTGAAATGCGCGCCAAGCTGGCCTCCAAAAAGAAATACGATCCGAAGAACGAGAGCGTCGATCTAAAGAAGAAATTCGAAATTATACAAAAGCTCTGAGAGCCGCACTTCAAAATACCCTTAACCCTTAACAAAAAAAATCATTGCACACCATTCTAAACGCAGTACTTGTTATTATTTTACACACAAAGCGCACAAAAAAAAGAAGTGAAAAAAAAATAGAAATGAAAATGAGCAAAACTAAAATATTATAATGATAATAATAATATGAATGAGTTTTCGTATTTTTTCTTTAGCTACGGCAGGCATATACACTTCGTATATACTTTATAAACTACCTATGTATTTAGTATGCAAAAGTCACTTATGAATTAAGCAAGTTTTTAAGATACTTTTTCGTCCCTGCAACTAGACAAAACAGTAACCCTCAGCGAACCGTAGCCCACAGAAATCTATCGAAAACAAATAAAAACTCTTTAAAGTAGTTAAAACACAACAACAACAAAAATCGAAAAAACCGCCCCTGAATAAAATCCATTTTAAAAATGTGTTGAACTTATTTTGCGTATTTTTGTTTTATTTTTTTTAATTATACCTTATAATTAGTACTTTTTTTGCTTTGCATTTGCGGCTAGTTCATTGAAAAACTTTCGTTACATTTTTAGCATACCCCAATATACATATAGTTTATATACTATATATATATATATGTATTTAGTTTACGTATGTACTTTTTACCGTGAATAAAGCAAAACGAAACAAAACAAATAAAGGTTTTTTGTTTGACACACGTGTTTCCCCTAATGGAAACGATATTAAGTAGTAATTGACAAATGTATATAAACAAAAAAAACCCCAAAGATTTATTGCTTATACATTGAATTTCAAATACACTTCAAGTCCATTGAATTTTAAGTCAATTTTTGAATATAAATGGATATTTGTATAGCCAAAGAAAATGTTGAGCCTGGTAAGTCTAGAAAACTAGTTAAAATAATGTTAAAAGCACTGAAGGAATAATTATTAAGTATCAATGATTTGGCTCATTTTAGCTTCAAAGTTGTCGGGCTAAAATATATTGACAAATTGAAGAGCAACTGCTTGGATAGGGTACTGATAGCAATGATCGCAATTTCAAATTAAAATATACTTCAGAGGCGGCAACAACAAGAAGCGACAAACAGTTGCGCAAATAGACTTTTAAAAATGTTGTACAAGCCATGAAAATACAAAACAAAAGCAAACATAAATAAATACATGAAACGTTATAGAAAGCAAGGCATTGCACAGCATACAAATAGTATGTGTATAAATATTATCAATGCTCAGTTGCTAAAGGTCATCTATGTCAAATTGCAGTGGCAACAACAGCAGCAGCGGCAGCAGCAGCAACAACCTGTTGCATTGCATACTAAACAGAACTCGTTATTGCAACAGCAGCGATTAGTCTCCATACAAAAAAATTAATTGCGAACTACAGGTGAAAGTTGCACCTTAATTTACAAAAATACATTTTAATTGTTATTTTAACAAATTGTGTACATAATAGCAGGTTTAACAACCTTAAAACAGGTGTTAAAATCATTTAAGTTAGGCAAAATTATTGCTGCTGTAGATTGCAGAGGGCCGCCGCGACAATCAACATTTCGTTGAGGTGCCCCAGAAGCGACGTTTGCTGCAACGCACAATGATCCAGCATCTTAAATTCACGCAGCATATCGACTGCCTGCCGCATCTGTGTGCGACAGGCGGGCTCATTTACGCGCAGCGTTGGCAGTTGCAACTGTGGGGCACGCGTGGACGAAAGTACTCCATCCGTTATCGACAGCGTTTGCTGGTTGGCCAACTGGCCACTCAAACGCTGCTCTTCGTATTTGCTCAGCGACTGTTTAGGCTGAGCATCATAATCCAGATCCTCATCGTCAATCGCATTAGTCTTGGGCAAGCGTTTGACTGACTTGCCTGGTTCCGCGCACAGTGTTAGATATTTGGGTATGACGTCCTTAAATTGGCTCGCCTCAAACAGCTGCAGGTCGTCGCAATCACCACGAAAGGCATCCGACACAAAGCTGATAATTCCTGAAAGGGAATTTGAGTATTAATATTGATAACAACTGATGCTCGAAAGCAATTGCATTAGTCACCATTCGTATTGAGGCACAGTATAAACTTGTAGCTGGCGCAACCGAAATTAAGCGTTTCACTCACATCCGTCTCGACGCACTCAATCAACGAGCGGACATGCAACAGGTTGGCTCTGTAGGCCAGTGGCAAATGTTTGAGGCGCTCCGAGTAATGCTTGCCATCGGGCCAGCGAATGAGCGGACGCAGACAGCGTGTCAGCCTACTCAGGGTGCGTTTAAATGTTTGCTCAACATCCGATTCGCACAGCTCGAAGAGCTCGGCGAGCAACGTGAAGGGTTCGTTGAGACGCAGCTTACGCAGCGTTATGCAACAGTCCAGATGCGGCAAATTGGCAAACTTGCAAATGTGACGCTTGAACAGTGGCAAATGTGAACTGGAGATGCCCAGATGCAGCATGGAGGCCATATCAATCGCACTCAATGTCATGCTGCGCATCGTTCGTTGCTGCATATCGCGCTTGAGGAACACCGCTTGTCGCACAGCTGAAGCCACAGCGGGCGCTGGTGCAGGTGCAGCATAGGTTGGGAAGGATGAGGTGGTGGCGCTCGTAACTATCGGTTGTCTTGTCGTTGCCTTGATTATCGTATTGGGTGGCAGGGAACTGATCGCATCGCCTAGCGATTCCTTTTTAATGTTGAGCAGAGGTGTTGACCAAGTAGATGTCCCCGCATAGCTACCTGACTGCAGTACATATTTCGGTGTCTTGACCAGTGGAGCACCTGTGAAGATTTATATTTGAGAGCAGCTAAGATACACATATATTTTTTAATACTCACCAGTTGATGTATAAGCGACTCGTTTCATACTCGGCTTGATGGGAGAACCGGCTGGTATCTTGCCGAGCGCAATGCTTGTGCCTGTTAGCTTCTGTTATGCATATTCAATTAATTTAAAAAATATAATTTAAACATAATTCGTCAATGATTTCGAAGTGAAACACATGTTGTATGGACTACGAGATTATTTTCGAGCAGCTGATTTGCGTTTTTATACACAAATGGTTGCCACATCGCCATAAAACAGCTGTTTATGCATTTTATGTATGTATTCTGTCTGCAAATGTTTGTATACCTTTAACATTTGTTGTGGCTGCAGTGGCCCTTTAGACCGGAATACCACACTGGGCGTTATGGGCACAATTCCTTCCGGTGTCTTGCGATATTTAACTATAGTTAGCGACATTTTACCGTGCAAATCGCAAACTTTCCACTTTTTATTAAATAATATTGCACTAGTTTTTCGCAGCGTCTCTCTGCAACCCTTCGCCCCAGACAATATCGATAGGCACGCGACAATGTGCGACAATCGATAAGTGCTGCCAAGCGACTTTTATTATGACACAATTTTTACCAACACTGACAACAGCCAGTTAAATCGGCGCGCCTTTTGGTTTTTCCATTACATATTCAACGTTCGACGCGCTACGATCGAAACCTGCTGTAAAAATCGGCGGCTTTTCGTCTAACTAAATTTAACTGCCGTTTTAAATAGATCGGTTAGTGTTTTGTTATAAATAATTATTTAAGTGCTTAAGAGTTTTGATTACACAATCCTGTATAATTGCAAAGCAATTTATATTATAAATTATATGTTCGAGTAGACCAAAAACAATATAAAAAAAACCTTCAAACCAAAACTGTGACCGTGAATATGCTCAAGACCCAGAAAGAAATAAAAACAACGTGCACAGCAAAGTTAATTAAGCGATTTTCATGCAGCACAGCGCGCGTTTTACAGCTTACCTATAAATATATTTTTTTTTATTATTTTTTTCAGTATTTATCACAAGAACAACACAAAATAATCATTATCAGCAAAAATTGCGCATCCGACACTACTAAAAAGATAAACAACGAGAATGCCGCGCGTATCAATGAAATCCGATAAGAGAACTAAAATTAATGTGGCTCATGACTCGTTCATTAAGCCAATTAATGCATTATAGTGAAGTAAATAAAGTCGATAAGCCAAAGGTCGCTGGTTAAATTATACAGTTGAACGCACTCCTCTTCCCCTACCGAGAGGTTCATCTTTATTTTAATTTAATTATTTCTCTACGCTGTTGGGCTTAAGCTGCGTTTTGTTGTTGTTACGCTTACAGTTGCCAGATAAACACATATTCACACACACAAACTCACACCCGCACACACCCACACCTACAATCGCAGGGTGCGTACACGTAATTGACTCAGTGTTTCTTTATTATGCGGTTTTCCGGGATTACTTAATAAAAAATCTGTTTTTTGTTGACAAAAGGCGGGCAAAGCGTATTTATAAAAACAGTGAAATAATGCTACGATCCGTATTGATATAATACTTATTATTGACTGTGCAAAAATACACAACAAGCCACTTACCAAGTGTGGCATTCGAGGTATTGGTGGATTCTCAATTCTGACTATGCATGGTATTCATAATCTGCATCTATTTGTGAGAACTTTATTTAACTTTAGTTAATTTTGTTTTCTAAAGTTAAAGTTGTTGTAGTTATAATGAAAATCAGTTCAGTTTTGACCAAGATATGGCAGCGGAAAACTTATAGCTAGTCCAATCTCCGATTTCTGAGCAAAGAATTTCGAGCAAAAATCGTGTCTAAAATTTAAATGTAGTACTAATCCAGAGGTCAAATCTTAATCAAAAAGCCATTCCCAATCTAAATCGGTTCAGTTTTGTCCGAGTTATTCAAAATTGTAAGACCCCTTAACTGCGATTATAGATTAGATTAGACTTAAAGACAGGCCGATATGCGAATTTTGAGATTAGAATTACTAACTGAATTTCATTTAGATTTAATTTTTAATCTAAACATCAAACCTTAATCAAAATGTAAAAGCTTTTGAAAATTGGTTCACTTTTTACAAAGTTAAAGCATTCTGGAAACTGGAATACTGGTAATATTGGAATTTTTCTCTTGGTGTATAATGCATGCATATTCCATCTTCAAATATGTACTCAATCGACATTTAAAAACTAACAAAAGCGTTATTATTCGTAGTACTTCACTGAGTCAATATGTATCCGATACAAGGCCCCTCCCCTCGACCACTCTCCCAGCCTTTGTTTATCGTTCAACATTTGCCACATTGCAATTACCGAGGCTCTTCGCAATTTGCGAGGTGTTTTTTTTTGTTTTTTTGTTGTATTTTACACGCTCGAATTGAATGACGTAGATTCGCCTCAGGCATGGTCTGAAATGAGAACTGCGAGTATTTAATGATCCAGCTAGCAAAAACATTAACACCTGTGTTTCACTGCACTTATTAACCTTTCTAACGAAAGCCATTTTGCACCTTTATTAAGTGTTTTTTATGGAACGAGTAGGAGACAAGTATACCCTGTATATTCAAGACCCAAAACTCTCTCTCTCTCTCCAAACTATGAAGAGTAGATTAATCACAAGTCCCCTGACTAACTTCCTTAATCTATAAGCGATTTCCATAAGTTTGCCTGAACAACTTTAATGTTAAATATATACGCAACTGAAGTACACAAGTTACAGGGTATATTTCAGCTGTGAACACTCAACAATGTCATTTCAACTTGCGGTTATTTTAATAGACATCAGAAGCCGCAAGGCGATTTGCGTTTTAATTGCATGTAATTGTGTCTTAAATGCACATATTTCGTTATAGAAACCATTACACCCTATCAGTTATACATATATAAAATTTTATGCTTAAGCCTATCAAAAAAATGCTATTAAATGTATTATGGCATTTTAATGAACTGCGATTTGATAAACTAATCACAATTCGAAAGTCAAATTGCTCAAATCGTTTGTCATACGCCAAATTCAGAGCACTGAGCAAAAGCCAGCAAAAAAAGATACGATGAAAAAAAAACCAGAGTGTTTAAATAGGCAGCTAACGACTGGAGAATACACTGTTTTTAAAGTTACAAAGGTGTTAAAGATGTTTATTCTTGTTTTATATATTTTAGTTTAAAGATACAGGAGTGAATTCTAATACTATAGAATATTATTAGATTATAGTTTACTGAGTTGTGGAAGTTGGAAATGGACGTATTACATATACCACAGAGTGACCAAAAGAAGTCTTTTCATAAGAAAAAAAAAAATATAGAGTTTATCTATATAAGAAGCAATACTCCATTTTACATGTGCCAAACAAAGTATCAACATATATTGAAATTCCATTAAAAAAGAAGTCAAGTTGCGATCGGCTTTCGGGGTTGAGGGAATTGGCGTCCACACAGCGCCTGCGTAACTGTCAACTGTTGTAAAAAATCAATAACACAAATGTTAACATGGCTAAAATGCAAGAAAAAAAAAAAAAAATACGAACAAACTCGAATCGCATCGAATTGAATCCGACTCGCACAGCGACTGTGACTGGCAACTAAAAATAATAATAATAATAATACAAAAAAAAACAAAAACAAGTTGTCAAGTTGCCGGCAAAAACAACAACCAATAAAAAGAGGCAGAAACAAAAACAAAACGCATGCATTGTATTAGCCAAAACGATTGACGTTTGATTTAAGGCGCTGCAACGTTCGGGCCAATGGCATTTGAAGTGTGCAAAAAAATCGTGCAACACATTTGGCTAATAAAAGCTGCTAATGAACGCGTTGAGGCGTTGACTGTTTTGATGTGATTTGATTTTATCATCTCCATTAGCCAATGGGAAGCCAATTTTGTCATCAGAAGGAGGAGTGAACATTTTATGGGCAGCATGCCACCAAGTTGGTTGATATTTTATAATAGATGTATTGAGTTTATATGCTCAACATTCTACACTTTTCGAATGTGTGTTTGTGTTTAATTCTTGACTGACTTGGCTTTTTAAATGAAGCTCAAAAAAGCATTCGAGGTGTTAAGAGCCAAAATGAAAAATGTTGCATGTATAAATAGTCGTCAGTCAATTAGTTAACTAAGATCTCCAAACTTACCCACTTAAGAGCAGTCAAGAAATCATCGCATTACTTAATGACCATAAAATGGCCATTTTAAATCCATTCATAGAATCTGCAGTTGCTGTTCATTGAAAAATGAAAACTCCGTCTAAAACCGAGGTGCATTCATAAATATTTAGCAGGAATTGCTAAATTGGGCAGTAAATAGTCGCTAATTTAAGCAGTACAAGACCAATTTTTCTTTAGGCCTGGTCAAGCCTGATCATTTGGCCAATGCCGGTGTAAATTATGTTGGCTTACTGAGTACACTCAACGAAGACCGCGTGTTGACTACAAAGTTAAGCGCCAGTTCGTGCAACAGATAGGCAAGTGGCGGGGGAGTCGGGAGTGGGGAGGGGGAAGGGGCGATGTAGATGAATGTTCGGACACTTAATTTATGTGTGCACAAAGTAAACATTTTGCCTGCCATTTGCGACAAAGACAAAGTAGTTGGCCTGGCCGAAACGTGTTGGTTTTATTAATTAGCTCGAAGGCGCAAGCAGACCCCTACTCAAGGCAACTCCATCGAACCATTCAGCCATAAGGTGCATGCCACTTGCCAGTTATGTGATCAGCACTGTTCGCTGGGGAATAATGCCTGACTGCCTCACAGATGCGCATTCTATCTGCGCTTTATATCAAACTAACATGCAACATTAAGTTGCACACATTTTAAAGTCACGTTTTCAGCAGTGGACATGATTTAATGATGTTCAACTAGCAATTCTCTAGCTGGATTAATTAGTATAATTATGGTTTCTAGGAGTAGATATAAGAGTTAAGGCCAAAATGCACTTACCGATAGTAGGAATGAAATAATTATTCTCTCATTGTTGTCTCTGCCTGCTTCTCTTTTGCTACAGCAATAATGACTCAATTTCTTTCACTTTTCAATATGCGAAAAAAGAAGATATCAAACTGAAGACATTTCTTTGCAGCTCTTTGGAATGGAGACAACAAGTTCGATTTCTTTACCTTCAACTTTAACTTTATTTTATATTATTTTTTATCATATTAGTTTGCTTGTTAAAATTTAATTTTTTAAAAGCGTCGCGTATTTGGACAGTGCTGCAGAGCGCCAAAAGCAACAAAAGAACCACATTGCAAAGTGCACATCTATTTATCTTTTGTGTGACCAAGAAAAGCAACAACAAATAAAATGCACAACTTGCACTTGTGCTGGACATTTCTATGATATTGTAAATTTTGCACGTGCATTTTGTGCTTTAAATGCAGCACAGCAGCAGATTAGCTTCCAACGAGTTAAAGACGCGCAGTGTGTGACCGTTTGCAATATGTCAGATGTGTGGAATGTGTGTGGATTGAGTGGATTGTGTGGATGCGGTTGGTACTTTGTCTTGTTCTTTCTTCTCTCTATTCGCTTTGGGCATTTGTATTTGTTAGTTGATGTTTGTAAAAGTAAAAAGGAGTAAAAAGGACATTTAAGTAGGCAAATATGTAAATTGTGGTCCAAATTCCAGTTAGCATATATTGATATTTTTTGCCACAACTTGGCTTAATAAATATAATTGATAAACAACAGCTTTGGGTATTTGACGGTGTCACGTAATCGACCAACACCCAAGCCAAGTGTTGCAGTAGTAAGTAGTGCCCCCCAAGATGTATTAGGCTGTCAATCAAGCGCTAATTGGACACCATTTCAAGCAACCCACTGCCGCCGCCCCCACCCCCCACACAAGTCAGTGTGACGTGCAACTGGTGCGGGCTTCGGTTGCAGCTCCATTGGAGAATTAACATAAGAAATGCCAACAAATTGCACCAAATAACAAAGCCAAAAACGCAAAGCGAGTTCTTTGCGTATTTGGTTTCGTTAAATGTGCTCCAAGCGTGAAAACGTGATAGAATTTCAGTTTTCGTGTTTTATCCATATAAAAAATTAAAAATAAACAGAATAAAAAGAACTGCAAGATCGCAATTCTTGAATCGCAGCTTGGATTTGGTAATCAACTTGCGAGCCATGCAACGTTCAAGATTGCTTTTCAACGATATTCTCAGGCAGTCCAATTACAAGCGACATGCACATAAATAACATTTTATTAAGTGCTAATTTCTGTTTTGGTAGCTCCAAATTTGCAGCTGATCTCGTCCAGGCGATAACTTCAAATTTGTTAGCTTGCCGCGCAAAGAGCTGCTCTCTCAACCGAGATTGGCGCCACAGATTGTGTTGCATTGCGTCTGCTGAAGCTGGGTGTGGTTAGTATTGCTGCCAGTTACCAATTTGGGCTACCAATGGTGAAGGGAATCAATTTGGGTATGGGCCACGAATCGAAATTCTTGAAATTGTGTAATAATATGAAAGATAAGTTATATGTTTGAAAGCAAAGAACTCAATGGCATCTAAAGTTGGAGATAACACAAGAATGTTCTATGTGCATACCGATTTTGTTCAGATTTTAGGCAAGTTAAGAGTAAAAAAAGTATAAAATAAATCCACATTTATTAACCTTAGAACTAAATAAAAATATGGCAAACAAATATTAGAAATTCTTTATTTATTAAAATCAGTTTAAGTTAACAAAAAATATTAGTGAAAAGAAATTATTTTGTTACAAACATATTGCTAGGAAAAGATGTGTGAAGTGTTAAGAAAAGGGTATGTTGAAGATACAAATGAAAATGTAGAAGAAATCTTAACAGTTGTAGCATGAACCAGTTAGTAAAATAGGAAGAATCGAAAACTGTTTGAATAAAACTATCCATCTCTATATCTCTTTAGCTAGCTTTCCACACTCTCTGCTCTTTCTGATATGTCATATATTCTACTACATTTTAACTATCTGCCCATCTTGTAAAGGGCTAGAACGGCAACAGCCAAAAGCAGCACCACAAAACCCACACTGCCAAACAAAGCGATTGACTTGGATCTCTCCACCACATTCTCATTGTTCAAATCACGCACAATTGGCGGCTCGTCCTGCAGCTCCATATTCGGCATAATCACCCTGAACATAATGTGAGATAATTCCGATGCCTCGGTGCCATTGCCCGGTGTATTGTGTAGAGTATCCCGTCTCCGACGCTGTGCCACGCCAGGCAGACAGTCCTGCGCCGTTGGCTGGCAATCCTCGCGCTCCAGACAGCCCGTTATGCGCATGGACATGACCAGAACATCGCCGCTGTGCATGCCCGGAAACATGACGGCTCTGAAGTGCAGTCGCTGGCCCAAAGGCAACTCCGAGCTGGGTGGATGGGCACAAATGCTCTGCATGGCCGGATTGAGGCAGCCGCGTGGAGTGATTAGCTGAGCGCTATTCAAAAGCTCGCCGGTGGATGAGATGCGCTGAAGTTGCACATCACTGAGCTTGGTATAGTTCCAGCCTAGAAAAGAAGGTAGAGAATTGATTAGCTGATGGGAGTTTTAGCACTGAATGCCTTGATTTAAAGCTTAAAAGCTATTTCAAGTACTGAATTCAAGTCCTTATTTGATAAAATAAGTCTAATGAGAGCTTAGAAATTTAGAGTTCCCTTACCATCGCCAGCAAGGACATGTGCGCGCAGCAGCAGCTCCTCGCCCAGCTGCACGGCGCCATTGCTCTCCAGATGTCGCGTATATCCATTCGAGCCCCTTCTCAGCAGCTCCACATGGGTGCGAAAGGCATTCTGATTGCCACCATGAGCATAGCTGCCAGCGCTGCGTGCCTGTCTGCAGAAATGCATGGAAAACTATACTCGTACAAAGATTCCATTTAAATACTCACACATCATTGGCCACGCCCATTTTCAGGGCATGTGTTTTGACCGCGACACGCTCCTGGGTCTTGCAGTGCAGCGTTAGAATGGAGTCGCTGCCAGTGCGTAGTCCCCTTATAGCTGGGAAGCGCAGACGCAGGCACAAATCCTCCTGGCCACAGGAGCGTACGCCACAACGCTCAAAATCGGAGCCAGCAATGTCCAAAAGCAGAAAACTGCGTGATAGTTTCAGCTCGCAGTGTTTACCCTGAAAAGCGTCATCGGTGTTGTCGTTGTCCAACACTGGCGCTGCACCCAAAAAGCTGTCCAACTTGAGCACTGCTCGAAAGTAGGCGCCTTGCAGGCAGCGCATATCCTTCAGCTTCAGGCGCAACTGTTGCTGCTGCTCCGGATTATGCTCAGCGGGTGGAAGATAAACGGGTGCAGGAGTCGACGGACGCTGCGGTGGTGCATGATAATCATAGCCAACCGGCGACACTAGCTCCCCCTCATTATCCTCGCCCGGCTCCTGCACAATTATGGGACGAGGCGTTGTTGTGGTTGTCGTTGTTGTTGTCCTTGTCGTGGGAAAATGCGTAGTGCTGCTGGCACTGGGCTGTGGATAATAATAGCCAGCGAACTCATCGCTGTGGGTTTTGGGGAAGTCAAAGCAAAAGTCAAGAAATGAAATATCCAAATTGGATCTGTTGAACAGAATTAAGTTGCTTAAGAAAAAAGCTGCCTGGCTAAACATTCTGAAGTTTTATCAAATGACCTTAAATCTAGCATAGTCTTACTATACATCCTATACATAAATGTTAATTCCATTTCTCTACGCACCTTGGCTTGGGACTCTCAAAGTTGGGTCGCTCTTCATTGCTGGGTGGCAGATAGTGTTGACTTAGGGGTATAAAGGAGCCATGTCCTTGGCTAGCAGTCTTCAAGCTGCGATTATCAATGATCTCCGGCAGACTAAACTCAGTCGTGGCAGGAGTTACCACTGCCACTGGTGCGGGAGTCACCGGGCCACCAACTGCTTGTGGAGGTGGTGGTCCATATAGAGCAGATTGTGGCCAACTTGCCAGTTGAAAGGGGACTTGTCCATGCAGATAACTGCCGTACTCGGAGGGTGCCGCAAAGAAATGCGACACATCCGCTTGGGTTTCCTTTAGCAGCAGCAAAATGGCACTAATTGTTATCAAATACGTCCAATTGTTTGACATTCTGGGTGTTTACTAACTGATCGCCGAATAAGTGGTCGCATTTTTATAAGCTAAGTCGGCATAATCGTGATTTCAATTGACCCAAATGTGGCCCTATGTAGAATTCAATTTTAAAGTTTACTTTCTATGTAGCACACGATTTTGGTGTACAACTTTCCTTGATCACGACATATGGGGGCCGTAAATTTATTGGGTCAGGTTATGTAAAACTAATTGCAGTTAGTACTCCCTAGACGATTGAACGTTTGGACGGTTGGATGGATCAACACACGTTGTTTTTCTTTTTGGGCATCCTCAGTCGTCAATTCACTTGTCGCAGCTGAAGTCACAGTCACAAATCATTTGATCATTTGACATGCCGCTTGCGGACAACTAATGACAACACGCATTCATCGCATTTTGGCCGCATATTGCAGATATCCGTTTGAAATGGCCAAAAACAAAAACAAAAACCACAAACAAAAAAAAAAAACACTAGCGCCAATCAAACTTAACGAGCCGCCAGCAACGCCAACACCGACATCGATGTCGGTAATGTGCCCAAAGATGGTCACACAAAGTAAAAAGTCATCGGTAATAATACTAATACTACAAACAAAACAATAATAGCTCCATCTGGCTACAAGTACAACAATGCTGCACATACATTTTTCATTGACTTATGATTATTTCTGATTAAATATTTGCCCAGTTATTCTTGTGTGGGAAGTTATTATGAACTGGCGGAGGGCTTATAAGCTTAACAATATTGTGCGGGGTGCATAGACACCCAAGTAACCAAAATGGCAGCTGGTGAATCATTTTCAGGCCAGAAGACTCCTCAAGTAATACAATTTCCTTAGACAATTATAGGCTTATAGATTAGATACCTTAACAATAATAACTTAAATGAAAAATTCATCTGATTCATTGCCATCCCAAATATTAGTTAGGATCAGTGTCTTGTGGCATATTTTATCTTCTCATTTTATTGTTACTTGAACCACTAAGTACAATTAGTCCGTTAGTCCATGTGCTTAATGCTTGAACTAACTCCAAAGACTTAATCGATTATCGATTAGTATTGCCACCTAGCAATACTTTACACATAAATTGGTCAGTTTTAATCCCTGCTTTTATCTCTTGCGAAATATGCAATTTCTGATTATTAATTCATTTTTCATGTACCCATTTCTCAATTTATGTGCTCAATTTGGTCCTATTATTTTTTTTTGCCTTGCGGTTTAAGTCTCATAATATTGTCATTCATAAATTTAATGTAATTTCAGACATGACATTTATGATTTGAGGCAATTATTTTCGATTATAATTGTTTGTCTGTGGGGCTTAAGCACACGACTACAAGACTCGGTTCTTCTTGGTTGTTTTCGTTGTTGTAGTTGCTGTGGTTGTGTTTGGTTGCTGCAGCAGGTTTGCGACTTGACGGCCAAAGCAAAACCGATTTCCAGCATTGACATCGACAGATACGGATACAAATACAGGTACAGATACAGATAAAAATCTCTCATGGGTAACGGCACCCAAAAGATTGGCAACAAGGTGCAAAACTTTGCCACATCAGCCACAAATCGAATGGCAATTAATTGATTTAACATGAGCAGCGCCTCTCGCAACAACCACCACACACTGTTTGCGCCATCGAAATAATTAACGATACCCAAAAATAGGCAGAAAGCAATGGATATAGCATATCGGATATCGATGACTGCAATTAGTGCCTTGCCATCCAAAAATCAAGAGAAAACACTAAACAAGATCACGCAAGGCGTAGTTCCGTTATCTCTGTGAATGAAATTAACCAGTTTTGTGACGTCAACTTTCATAAAACAAAATATGGGTGTTCTTTAATGAGATTTACGTGATTTGATTTAACAACTATCAACTCAGTTTGTAAATAAAACAATGTGTCATTTTAGCTTTTATCTCTTTTATGACATGCCTGCTCGTAATTAGTTTTAATTTATGCAATTTGGTAACTCTCATTTTCTAGGATCTCGAATTGGGCCACATACCATGCCCGGCACCTCATTCCCAACGAATAACGACAATTTCTGCAACGGTTTTCCCATGGCGACCACACAAGCGGAACGACTGCTCCAGGCGCAGAATCGACGAAAGTTCAGTTTTCCGGCCACACTCCACTCATCGCCACTGCTCGAAGTGGGCCAGCGGGAGTCGACCCGCCGACGGCTCAGCAATGTCAGCGATGTCGTCACCCGCAAATTATCCTACTCGATCGGATGGAAAGCGGCTCAAATACCTGCCCAGGACATAATTACACAGGTGGACTTATGCGCTCAAGAAGTTGTTGATATTTTTATGAATTTGTTTATATTTTATATTTATATTATTTTGCCCAGGGACGCTGTTTATGTGGACAATATATAAAGCGGCGCCTGCGACGCTCGGGACTGTTTAACAAAAAGTTGGGATTGCAACGAATTCGCAGCATGTTGGGCAACAGCAATATATCTATGGGTGTTGTGCGAGATGTCTTTCCAGCGGTGCAAGTGGTGCGTATAACCCTCAGAAAGAGAGAGAGAGAGATTTAATTTTACTTCCCAGTTGGGCGACGAACTGGAACGGATGCATCCACGTGTCTACAATGGTGTTGCACGACAGATTTGCCGTAATCCTGGCGGCGAGTTTCACACGCCTGACGCTGTTAGTTTGTTGATGGGTGCTGTGGGTCGTGAACTGTTCCGGATTGAGATCACGTGGAGCAAGGTGATCTCATTGTTTGCTATAGCCGGTGGCCTGTCGGTGGACTGTGTGCGCCAGGGTCATCCCGAGTATTTGCCAAAGCTAATGGAGAGCGTCTCCGAAGTCATTGAGGATGAACTTGTACCATGGATCAATGAAAATGGCGGTTGGGTAAATAAATAGTTATATACTCTACTAAATATGAGTTGAGCTAAGCAAGTTGAATAACCTTTTCAGGGTGGCATTAATACGCATGTCCTGCCAACGACAAACAGTCTTAATCCTTTGGAGTGGACAACGTTGGTAATTGGAGTCGTCTTTGGTTTGATTTTACTTATCATGCTTTTGCGTTTTATTGGTAACACAGTGATTCCAAAAATATACGAACGATTCTCGAGATGATTAAAAATAATGTAGAGTTAAGTTATGTTAATTACAAGTCTTGTGATTGTTGTGAATGCGAAACCTAACAGCCAATATTTATTTAAAGTTATCCGCCAGTTAACAGTGTGGCCATTGTGCATAAGGCAAATAAATACCGCGCCTAGTATTTTTAAGTCTGTACTGTATCTGTATTGTCTGCACAGTTAACAAAATAACGAGGCTAAGTCGATTCTAACCTTATTTGCTAATATACTGTGCAGAAAGCTCGTACGCTTCATACGTTGTAAGCTTTACAGTAAATATCGATAGTTTTGTAGTCGTAATGATTTCGAGTTGCTCGGCAACATTTTCATAACAGCTGTGTTATTATTGTATGTTGTATTCAATGCAGACTCAATATGACAATAAACGTTAAGATATCTTTAAGCAACATATTAATTGTTAAACAAAGCAATTTTCAAATGAAACGACAAACAGTTTCTCAATTTATGCAAAGAACAGCGAGCGCTGTTGTTGTGTCTGTCTCGCTCTTTGAGAGCTTTTATTGCGTGCTTTTTTGGAGCTCGATCGCAAAGCGGGCAGCGCAGCCAAGCGAGCAGCAGGCAGCCAGCAGCAGCCAACTGAGCAGCTGAGTTAACGGCGCACACTCTCACGCGTTAGAACAGCGGGCCGCTAAATTGTGTGACTGAGACAGAGGCGGCAATTCCCGTACGTTAGCACAACAATAATATTTCGTGTTGTTTTTTTGTGCCGTAGATTTCTCGGTTAAAAGTTCAAAGCAAAGTGAAGCAAAGTAAAGCGAAGCGACAATAAAAACACACGCGCTACAAATAAAAAGGTAAAACAGCAACAACAAAAAAACAAAAAGACAGAAACACAAATCGAAAAAAAGCGAAAAGAAAGCAAGCTTGAAAATCAATCGCACAACAAGTTTTTTTTTTAGTTGTTTTCTTTTGTGAGCGCCGTTCGTGTATTTTGTTTGCCTGCTCTACGCTTTGCGCGCAACATTTATTCTCGATTTTGTTATTTTGTATTGCACATGTTATAGTATATATAAGAGCCAAACCACCTCCAAAAAAGCGCAAAACTAGCTGTAATAATACAAAAACAAAAAAAAAAAGCTCAACTTTTACACAACTCGTCGCATGCAGCTGAAGCTTACACGAAACGAGCAAGGAGAGTGGAAGCAGAGGAGGCTGCAACAACAGTTCCACCAAGCAGAACATTGCTTGGTCCAATGACAATGGCCATGGCACCCACCAGCACCACCAACCCCAAGCCCACCCCCACTCCTAAGCTGGGTAAATTCAAATCCTCCTCACTGGACCATGAGATCTACACGGCGAACAGACGCAGCACCATTGTGACCGCAGCCAGCGACTGGAAAGCTTTGCGATCACCGCTCAATGGCACCCGATCCGTGCATGTGGGCAGTGCCGGCGGAGCGGCAGTGGCAGGGGCAGGGGCCATACCGGGGCACATGACGAGGGCTGCCTCCACCTCATCGCTGGCGAGCAGCACACGCACTATGACAAACTATCAGGAGCACAAAATGGAAATAATTAATCAGGTAAGCCAGTTCGATAAACACAAAAAACCGCCTGCCGAGAGCGTTGCGACTTGAAAATACCCTGTAAGACGATGACTTAAAGTGACAAATTAAGAAAATGTGGTTAGAAAATACGCTTTGAGTAGGTTACTTAAAGTTTGTAAGTCGAGTTTCGACTACGCAATACCCAGTGCAAAAAATAACTAGAGTATATTAACAGCAGAGATCTTGTTAAAACAAAAACAATCTTAAGAAAAGAATATAATGTTTACAAGCAAAATGTTCGGGTTTCCTTTGCGCACTGATAAATGAAAATGCGTGCCTTCTTTAAAGTTTACAGGGTATATCAGAAAGCTGTGCAAACAAATTGCATATTGAAATATTTTGGTACAAATTTAGGTAAATAAAAAAAAAACAGTTGGTATCGTTCTTTTGTACCCATTAACATATAATGAAAAATTAAAAAAAAGACGAAATTATAAACTAGAAGTGGGCGTGGCACAAGCAAGCGCTATATAGACTTTGATAGGGTAAACTTACGAAATACATATTTATATCGCATGTAAGTTTATTTATTTATGTTTTTAGCAAATTGTTCATTTCAGCTGATAACAATATAAATAATCTAATATGACTGCATTCTTTAAGTTGAAACATGTTTGCATTTATTTTTTGTTTACCATTAAAATAATATTTGTGAAATATATTTACCCTGTCAGCGATAGCGGCGAGAAATTGTTTCATTTGTTGATCGTATGCTGATAAAAATGTAAAATTTGTTAGCACGAAAAGCGGGTTCAATAATTTAAACCAGAGATAAAGCACAGCAAAACGGAAATGGCATTGAATAAGTGCTTCCAAGTAAATTATAGAACAAAACTCACCGATCATAATTCATTCAAAACTTGTCATCGCCTGTTTTTTCTTACTTTCCAAACTCGACAAACACGTGTCTCCAACATACATACACGGTAAGATCGGGGTGAATATATACATGTATACATGTATCTGCTCGCTTCGCTTATCATGCTGTTTGCATGTGTATAAATAACGATTAAAGTAGATTGTTCAATATGAAAATGAGGTTTGGCTCGCAAAGTCTGTATCTCCTAACTGAACTTGATGATAATTTTTCAGTCAGTGATCAATAACATGTCAAGGTATATTTGTACTCATTAGAAAGGTTATATCGAAGATGACTCCTTCTGCCTGTTACATACATTTACACATTCCATTATACCCTAATTACCATTAATTTTAATGAGTTCAGGGTATACAAAGAACCAACAATTAAAAAGCAAGGGTACTGTAAACAAAAAGTTCGCTCTAAACAAAAAAAAAATGATAGCAAATCAGCAGCAAACAAAACCAAAAATTCTGAAAATTTAAAAAAATAATGTACAAAAATACGATCGAAATACTAAAAATAAGTTTACATAATACGTGGAAGTCGAGTGTTCTTTTTTCTCTTGTTGTGATAGATTAATCAAACCGAAATCGTGAAAACACTTAACTCTTCAGGTGGTAATAATAATGTCTACGCTTGGAGAGTGTTGCAAATAAACAGAATTTGATGGATTTATGCTCTGAAAGCGTATTTTAGTGTAAACAAGCTAAATACGAAGGTATTTAACCGCTTGTTGGCATCGTGGCGGTGTTGTGTTAATGGCTTCAACATTCGATAGACTTGTCAACATTTCAATAACCGAGCCAACCCCCAAGGTCAAGCTTTTTTTTTCGGGCAATGTCATATGTCAAGTTGGCGCCAAAGACATAAGTTGTTGTTATACAATAGTTGAGCATGACAAACGGTAATGGTGAAAAAAAAATATAACTAGATACACATATATACCAAGTGTCGATAACAATTGCGAGCGGCATGGCATTGTAAATTAAACAGACATATTTCACTGACAAATTTATATATATTTATACTATATGAAAGCAACTGCTCCGCGTAGATCCCAATTAAGAGTGTGGGATAAGCAAACGTTTTGTCGTGTTGTGAGAAAATCAATTGAATTGTGAGACAACAAAGTACAACAAATGTAGTTCTGTTTTGGGTCATACTGGATAATGACTAACACAATGGTCTGGAAATGTTTCGACTTGTTTAGCTTTCGGCAGAGCACGTGCTATCCACTTAATAAATGCATATTCCATTTCTCTACAAGGCCAAACATCCCTTTATATAATACTGAAGGGTGAGCTGGGTTAGATGAGGTATTATTGAGTTTAAAGTTTAAGCAGGTAATTCACCGATATACTTTAATGAAAAAGCTACTCTTGAAGATGTTGCTCTAAGTTATTCATTAACTAAATCAGCAAACTTGAGTATATATTATTACAATGGAAAGCTGACTACACATAAGATATTTCATAGTTGAGCATTCCCTACTATAGCAGCTCATTTTTGCTATTTGTTTAATTTTTGCGGCAAGTGCACTTTATGTGCTACGCCGGCTATCAAAAATATTTCAGAACTATCTTGAGGTGTGTACAATGTGTGAATGATATTTAGCAGGTGTCATTCACTTCACAGTGATTTGGGCAAGAACCTCAGAAGAGCAATAAGCTGTTTTGATTTGGCCGAACATCTGAAAATTGCTATGAAAACGCTTGCCAAAAACGATACCACGAAGCACACAAACAAATTGAGAAATAGAAAAGCACAAAAACTCAAATATTTTTGAACTTGTTTTCCGGTGATTCCGGATAAGCGGAAATTTTGACAAGCCCATTGATATACGCGCCTACAAATCGGGTACTCTCCATTGGCACTGATTGCCCTCATGTGCGAAAGATCAAAGGTGGAACAACAGACATCAGTTGATTTTTGATTTGATTGAATTGGTTATTAATTGAACTTTGTGATACACAATTCTTTTTTCTCTCTATTCTAGGGCAAGTGCCTGTGTGGGCAATACATCAGAGCGCGACTGCGACGTGCCGGGGTACTCAATCGCAAGGTAACACAAAGACTACGCAACATTCTGGAACCATCATCCCATATCGTCTACGAGGTGCTTCCAGCGCTTAATAGTGTGAGTATACCCCTATTATTTATACAAATTGAGACAGACTAAGACTGGTGATAAGACGAGTGGAGAGCATTTCAGGAGAAAGACTCGACTCTTTTTCTCTCTTCTCTTCCCCATTAAAAACCTATGGCTAACGAATCATTACTATTCACAGATGAGCGAGGAACTGGAACGCATGCATCCGCGCGTCTATACGAATGTCTCTAGGCAGCTATCACGTGCTCCGTTCGGTGAGCTGGAGGACAGCGATATGGCGCCGATGCTACTCAATCTGGTGGCCAAGGATCTCTTTCGTTCGAGCATCACGTGGGGCAAGATCATCTCGATATTTTCCGTGTGCGGCGGCTTTGCCATAGACTGTGTGCGTCAAGGACACTACGACTACTTGCAGACCCTTGTCGAGGGCCTGGCCGAGATTATTGAGGATGATCTGGTCTATTGGCTGATTGATAATGGCGGCTGGCTGGGACTACAGCAGCATATACGACCTCATGGCGGAAAATTCACATTTCTTGGCTGGCTGACGGTGTTTGTGTCCGTTTCGGCTGGGGCTTATGTTTGTAAGCGCATTGGCTGTTCGTTGTATTCGTTGTTATTCTAGTTTCGGGTCGAATTAGTTGTAATTGTATCCCGTAGTAGTCATAAACTTGTAATCATTCCTGCTTAAAGTCGTTTCATAGCTCATAAAGAATTCTGTTTAATGTTTGATATCGATATTGATACTTGTTATATTGTTTTTGTAAATATACCTAACTTAGTGCCAAACGCATAGAGCAAATAAATTACATAAAACAAAACTTGGACAGTTTAACGTATTTTACTTGCGTCACACAAAGACCGACAAATTTATAATACCCTTGCAGTAATACAAGCACTTAAAAGAGCATTTTCGGACATTATGTTTATCATTTGGCTTTAACAGACTTGAGCTATGTTATGTTAATATTTGCTGCTCAGCACTTATCGACAACCGCCACGTTAAATATCGACTTAACATGCGAAATATATATTTATCGATATTAAGATATATTTTGCAACAAGAAAAAAGTAGACAAACAAAAAGCTGCTTTTATTTTCGAATTTTCAGCAAAATATGCCATGTCAGGTGCGTATCAAGTGGAGAATAATGCTACTCGCCGCCTGCTCACAATTATCAATTGCAGCACACAGTGGAAAAAAGGCTGACGCGACAGCAACGGCGCTGCAAAGGCACGTGGATGCCAAAAGCCAAAGCAATATTGATCATTTTATAATTGATACGTGTGCGGATGAACTATACTACTGTGAGGATTGTGGCAATGACTACGACAGCATCGAGGCGTACAACAATGCACACAGCGGCCTCGACAGCTGCACAGGCGCCGTCGAGGCCTGTTCCAAAGTTTCCCTTCATGCCGTCGAGATGAAAAATGAAGCGGACGGCGAAGATGATCGAGTGGATGTTGAATCCCTTATCCTCGAAGATGATCTAATTGAGGAAGTCGACGATGCAAGTGAACCTCAGCTTTGGGAGGTGCTCGATGACGATGAGGTACTGCTGCCAGCCGAAGTCGAGGACGAGGCGCAAACTGAACCTGAGGCTGAGGCTCAGTCAGAGCAAATGTCCAGCAAGTCAGAGCGTTACTTTTGCTTCGATTGCCACAGCATATTCGTGACACGTGAGAGTGCCGAGGAGCACAGCTGCCCCCAGGCAGAAGCAACAACAACAACTACAACGGGTGGCAAACCGAGCACTGCCAACAAGTTGGCCAAAACGCAGACGCCAGTGAGACGCAAAGGGGCAACAGCCACAGCAGCGAGCAGCAATAATACGGCCACTGTTTGCCACATTTGCAAAACCAAATTCAGTTCAGCCAAATGCCTCAAGTTTCACATGCGCATCCACAACAAGCGTGCCTCCAAATCCATACAGGATGCATTACCTGTTGGCGCACATCAGCAGTACAGCGAACTGGATCAATTCTATTGCGAAATCTGCAACAAGAGGTCAGTTCATTTAACAGTCGAAAAATAACAATTTATATATATAGAAGTTCCACTTTATATACATACATGTTTAGTCAGTTGAAAAGATTTTCAGCCACCACAATTTATTACTCTTATAGTCATGGATTAGCTGAATATGGAAATTAGTCGAAATTCATATTTTTTTTTTTTTAAATAAGAAAATCGATCCCAATACTAAATCATTTTCAAATTTCCCATTGCAGCTTCGAAAAAAACCTGTTAACGGTACATAAACAGATGCATCAGAGCCATAAACAGTTTCTGTGCGGCACTTGCAACCGCAAATTCGATAATCTAACCAACTATAAGATGCATCTGAAGATCCATGAACGTCACGCGCTGAGCAACAACAACAAGCCCAGTAAAAAGGCCGCCAGTGTGGACAGGGATAAGCCAGGATTCGCCTGCCAGTACTGCGAGCGGGTCTTCTCGCGTCCCTACGAGAAAGTGAAGCACGAACGTGTGCACACTGGCGAGAAGCCTTACAGCTGTGAGGTGTGCGGCAAAACGTTTCGTGTCTCCTACTCCCTCACGCTCCATCTGCGCACGCATACTAACATACGGCCGTATGTGTGCACCACGTGCAACAAACGGTTAGTGAAATGCATTCAATCTTTTTTTTTGCAAGTTAAAGGAGTTCTTTGTCGCTTGCAGCTTCAAGTCGCATACGGTTTACTCGCACCATTTGCGCATTCACAGCTCGGAGCGTCAGTATGTTTGTGATAGCTGTCCGAAATCCTTTCGCACATCCGTGCAGCTCTACGCGCACAAGAATAGTCACACCAAACCTTATCAGTGCGCCGTCTGCAATCGTCCCTTTTCCTCACTCTACGCCGTCAAGGCACATATGTCCACCCACAAAACGAACGATGCGAAGAGCGCCGGCAACCAGGTCACCAAGAGCCAAAACATGTCCAATAAATATTGGTGTGTTACCTGCGGTGCAGAGTATGCGCGTCCCTTTGCGCTCCGCCTGCACATGAAGGCTTCCCACGGGCATCAAGATGATGCGGATACACGCTTTGCGAAAATCGCACCAACAGATGATGACGATGAGATTATTGTGCCCGATACAGAGACGGCGGTGCTCATAGCAGCGGCTAAGGCGGATTCAGCGTATCTGTGCGATGAGGCCAATGAAGTGGATATTATGGGTGCGGTGCCCAAATACGAGGAATGCATTGAAGTATCAGCAGATGCGGTGGGTGAACTGATTACTGTATACCAAATGCATTTCAGATGTGATTATTAATATTCCTTCTCTTGCAGTTCGATGTGGAAACCTTTCACAACGAGGAGATCATCACCGACTGGCTGAAGTAGTGGGAGTAATAAAAAAAATCAAAATAAATTTAGGCACAATTACATGAAATTGAGAAACAAAACTTTTATTGGAACATAACTGGCGCTTTACCTATTAGTAAATATAAATATATGTATTTATTGCTGGCGTATATTGAGACCAGTCCATTGGGTGATTAATTTAAGAAAATTGAAATCGTTTAACAACTACTTGCATAATGTAAAAATAAAATATATAATTTTAAAATTATTATTATTATTGGTTAATTAGCTTCTGTGTATAACTACAACAGCAATTCCGCTAATCTGCTGCCAACGGTTCTTCGGGCTCATCGTTGTCCTCGTCGCATATCTCTTTGAGCACCTCAACCAGATCCTTCGCCTCGTCTAGTTCTTTGCGCATTGTGTCCATTTCCTCCTCCAGTCCCTCGATGCGTTCGTGCAAATGGCGATTCTCGTTGAGGCTCTCCTCCAATGCGACGCGTCGCTGCTCTGACAACAGTTTGTAATAGTTCTCGCCCGGCTCACACTCACTGGTCAAATCCTCGGCTGTGATGGGCTTATCGGCAGGAGAAATCTCTGCATCAGTTTGGGTATCAGCATCTTGGGTGGTTACTGTATTGGTTGCTGCCGCTGTATCGACGCATTTGCGTTTGCCATATTTGGGCGCTAGATTGACGCCGGCCTTTAAGCGACTGAGCTGATCCACGATGGAGGCACGTCCCGTTAGTCCAGTTAGATTCTCCTTGTCGTTGGCGTTCGCAGTCGCCTGCAGCGGCTTTAAGGTTTTGCGCTGTTGCTTCAGATGCTGCTCTTGCTCGGCCTCGCTCTCGACTTGTATGTACACTCTTGCGGCGCCCGTGGACATTTTCAAACTTTTTTGTTAATCGTTTTTGTTAGTTAACAAGATCAATTTGTTAACACATTAATTTCGTTGAATGCCTTTTTCGCAGTGCGTTTTTCGTTTGTGCGTTGTGGTGGCCGCCAAAAATAATGCCGCGTGCGGTTGATCAGCACTGTTATGCCGCTTATCCAACACTGTAATTTTAGAGTTGTAGCAGTGCCAGCGTGGAGTGCTTACATTCAAATATTCAGATTTTGCATTGACGGTAATTGTTTTAGAAGTGGTAATTTAGCAATGTCTTTATACCTTAAACGTACGTTTTACGTTTTAAATGACAAAATTGAAGCTGCACAGTGTTAATTTGCTGTTAGGTGGCAACGCTGCACATTAACAGCTGACCGCGGACGCGCATGCAAACGTTTTTGCGGCTTTTGTTATAATTTTTTTTTTGTTTTGCAATGATGACTGAAAAAACCAAACCAACGCTGCAAGTTGAATTGAATTTCGTAAGTATATGGCCTTTAGATGCACGCATATGTCTAATTATGCGTATTGTGTAGGATGAGGAGGATGTGCCGTACGAGGAGGAGATACTACGCAATGCGTACTCCGTTAAGCATTGGCTGCGCTACATCGATCACAAGGCCAAAGCGCCCAACAATGGCGTCAATTTGGTATATGAGCGCGCGCTGAAAGAACTGCCTGGCAGTTATAAGATCTGGTACAACTATTTGCGAACGCGCAGGAAGCAGGTGCGCGGCAAAATACCCACAGATCCCATGTACGAGCAGGTGAACAACACTTTCGAGCGTGCTTTGGTTTTCATGCACAAAATGCCCCGCATCTGGATGGATTACGGGGTATTCATGAGCTCCCAGTGTCGGATTACGCGCACCCGTCACGTCTTCGATCGTGCATTGCGTGCGCTGCCCATTACACAGCATGGACGCATTTGGCCGTTGTATTTGAAGTTCGTCAAACGCTACGAGATGCCCGAAACGGCATTGAGGGTCTACAGGCGCTATCTGAAACTGTTCCCTGAGGATGCCGAGGAGTATGTGGACTACTTGCAGGTATTATTCGAATTTTATATTATACAGCCTTCTTTGTGACATATTTGTAAATAATTTGTATCATTTCGCAGGAGGCACAACGTCTGGATGAGGCGGCCCAGCAGCTGGCACACATTGTGGACAACGAGCATTTTGTGTCGAAGCACGGCAAATCGAATCATCAGCTGTGGAACGAGCTATGCGATCTGATATCGAAGCATCCCCACAAGGTGCACTCGCTAAACGTGGATGCAATCATACGTGGTGGACTGCGACGTTACACGGATCAGTTGGGCCATCTGTGGAACTCTCTGGCCGATTATTATGTGCGCTCCGGTTTATTTGATCGTGCCCGCGACATCTACGAGGAGGCGATCCAAACGGTGACAACGGTTCGTGATTTCACACAAGTTTTCGATGAATACGCTCAGTTTGAGGAGTTGTCGCTGAACAAACGCATGGAGCAGGTGGCCAACGATGAGGAGGCCAACGAAGAGGATGATATCGATGTGGAGCTGCGTCTATCGCGCTTCGAGTATCTCATGGAGCGGCGACTGCTACTGCTGAATAGTGTGCTGCTGCGTCAGAATCCGCACAATGTGCACGAGTGGCACAAACGTGTGAAACTCTACGAGGATCGACCCGAGGAGATCATCAATACGTATACGGAGGCGGTGCAGACGGTGCAGCCAAAGCTGGCGGTGGGTCAACTGCACACATTGTGGGTGGAGTTTGCCAAGTTCTATGAGACGAATGGTCAGGTGGAGGATGCCCGCGTTGTCTTCGAACGGGGCACCCAAGTTGAGTACGTTAAAGTCGAGCATCTGGCTGCCGTGTGGTGCGAGTGGGCCGAGCTGGAGCTGCGTCAGCAACAATTCGAGGCAGCTCTTAAACTGATGCAGCGGGCCACGGCGATGCCCAAGCGAAAGGTTGCCTACCACGATGAGACGGAAACGGTCCAGCTGCGTCTCTATAAATCCCTAAAAGTGTGGTCCATGTACGCTGATCTGGAGGAGTCCTTTGGCACCTTCAAGACCTGCAAAGCCGTCTATGAGCGGATAATTGACCTCAAGATTTGTACACCACAGATAATCATTAATTACGGACTGTTTCTCGAGGAGCACAACTACTATGAGGAGGCGTATCGTGCCTATGAGAAGGGCATTGCTTTGTTCAAATGGCCAAATGTCTATGACATCTGGAATTCGTATCTGAGCAAGTTCCTCGAACGCTACGGCGGCACCAAATTGGAGCGTGCTCGCGATCTCTTCGAACAGTGCCTGGATCAGTGTCCACCGGAGCATGCCAAGTATTTCTATTTGCTCTACGCCAAGTTGGAGGAGGAGCATGGCCTCGCCCGGCATGCCATGGCTGTCTATGATCGCGCCACCAGCGCCGTCAAGGAAGAGGAGATGTTCGACATGTACAACATATTCATCAAGAAGGCAGCGGAAATTTATGGACTGCCACGCACTCGAGAGATCTACGAGAAGGCAATTGAAGCGTTGCCGGAACAGAATATGCGACACATGTGCGTCAAGTTTGCGGAGCTGGAGACCAAACTGGGTGAAGTGGATCGCGCCAGGGCCATCTATGCGCATTGCTCGCAGGTGAGTAGCAGTGGATTACATATACCTGCTAATGCCCCGGGATTAATATGCCTTCTTTTGTTTTTGGTCAGGTCTGTGATCCTCGCATTACGGCCGACTTCTGGCAGACATGGAAGGAGTTTGAGGTGCGTCATGGCAACGAGGACACGATGCGTGAAATGCTGCGCATCAAGCGCTCCGTGCAGGCCACCTACAATACGCAGGTCAATATGATGGCCGCTCAGTTTCTCAATACGGGCAATGGTGCTGCTGCCGATGCAGGTGCCGGTTCTGGCTCGGATGCAATGCGTCTGTTGGAGGAGAAGGCGCGACAGGCGGCGGCGGCGGCGGTGGCAGAGCAAAAGCAAAAGCCACCAGAAAAGGCTGCCTCCAATATTATGTTTGTGCGTGGCGAGACGCAAGGTGGGGCCAAGGACAAGGCAAATACAGTCGTTAATCCTGATGAGATTGATATTGGCGACAGCGACGAAGAGGATGAGGACGATGATGATGATGATGATGGTGGAGAGCAGGAGGGAGGCACTGAGCAGGCAGCAGAAGCAACAGCCACAAAAACAGATGATGAGGGTCTCGTAATGAAGAAGCTGCGTTTCGAACAAAAAGCGATTCCTGCCAAGGTCTTTGGCAGTTTGAAGCCCAACAAACAGCAAGACTCTGATGACGAATAGAACCAATAATATTGAAGAATTTTACAAGCAATTTTCTGCACTTGATAAGGATAATGCTTCAATGTCTTGTTATCAATCACTAAATTATATAACCTTCAGCAAAATAATTGATCTTGCTAATCATGGCTTGACTTTTAGATCAGTAAAATGCTTGTCGAGACAAATGAATATGTTCACAAATTGTCTGCGCTTTTTAATCAGCGATTAAACTCTAGGTTAATTGTGTATTCATATAAAAACTATAAACTTCAAAAAGAGTTGAGGCAAAAGTGTTCGTGCCACAACTCTGGTTGGCGACGCTTTCGGTGTCAGCTGTGTTTTAGACATTCAGTTGAACTTCACACACCTGGCATATTCACATTCACATTGATATCACAACAACTTTTCGAACAAATATTATTGAAACTTGAACATTAGTAAAATAGTTCTTAGACTACAGAATAACACTGGAAGAGTAACCACAATGATGTTGGCCAAGTATATTGCGAATGTGTTGACGAGGAATACGCACCTGAGGAATGAGCTAATCTACAGGCAAGTGCGGTCCATGAAGTCCTTCAGTCCAGTCTGTGGGCAGGTGGGGTCCCTTAGGCCTCTGGTTGCCATTGGTCGCCAGTTGATGCGATCGTTTGCCATCAAGTGTGATGATGTCAGCGTTGTCAAGGGCGCTGTGGTGGGCGTGTACACCAAGGAGGGTGACAGGGAGCCCAAGTTGACATCCAGTGGCGAGAAATTCGATGATCGAGCCCAGGGCAAGATCTCCGAGCTGGTGCGCGAGACGAACATGAAGGGTGAGCTGGGCAAGGGGTTGGTCTTCTTGAATGTGGATCCCGAATTTACGGCCGTTGCCGTTGTGGGTGTGGGCGTAGAGGGTGCTGGTTTCAATGACATGGAAATGATTGATGAGGGCATGGAGAATGCTCGCGTTGCTGCCGGTGTTGGTGCTCGTGCCCTGCAGCTGCAGGGCATCACAGATATCTTTGTGGACTCCATGGAGTATCCGGAACAGGCGGCCGAAGGTAGCGCCCTGGCTATCTGGCGTTATAATAGCAATCGCCGTAAGAAGGATCGCACATTTATACCCAAACTGGAGCTATATGATTCACCGGATGTGGATGCCTGGACGCGTGGACTCTTCAAAGCGGAGTCACAGAATCTGGCCAGACGTTTGTCGGATTCACCGGGCAACCAGATGACGCCCACCATCTTTGCGCAGGCCACAGTGGATGCCCTGTGTCCGTGTGGCGTTAGTGTCGATGTACGGTCGATGGACTGGATCGAGGAGAATCGTCTCAATTCCTTTCTAATGATCGCCAAGGGCAGCTGCGAGCCGCCCGTTGTGCTGGAGATCAACTATTGTGGCACGGCAGCGGATGATAAACCGATTCTGCTGCTGGGCAAGGGATTGACTTATAATAGTGGTGGTCTCTGTTTGCGGCCCAAGAATTGCATGCACATGTATCGTGGTTGCATGGCCGGTGCTGCCGTCTGTGTGGCAACCATTCGTGCAGCGGCCGCATTATCGTTACCGTTGAATATTTCGGCTGTGCTGCCGCTCTGCGAGAATATGCCATCGGGCATGGCGGTCAAGCCGGGCGATGTTGTCACCCTACTCAATGGCAAGACACTGGGCATCAAGGATGTGAGCAAGGCGGGCGTTGTCGTCATGGCCGATCCATTGCTCTACGCTCAGGCGAATTATAAGCCTCGCCTTGTTGTGGATATTGCCACCTTGGGCTATGGCGTCTGCTGTGGCCTTGGCGGCAGCGCTGCCGGCATTTTTAGCAATTCGAACTTTGTTTACAAGCAGTTCTCCAAGGCTGGCTCCTTGACGGGGGATCGTCTGTGGCGTTTGCCTCTGTGGAATTACTTCAAGCAGCTGGTCACGCCCAGCTTGACCTATGACATTAGCAATCGCGGAAAGGGCCCCGCTTCCAGTTGCATTGCAGCTGCCATTTTGCACGAACTGGTGCCGTGCGTGGATTGGGCTCACCTCGATATACGGAATGTGGGCATGCTGACCAGATACAATCCATTGCCGTATTTACTAAAGGATCGCATGACTGGGCGTCCCACACGCACCGTCATTCAGTTCCTTTATCAGATGGCCTGTCCGGACAACAAGTAGTTGTTGTCTTTCATTTTCATTGTTTTCCCCTTTAATGTTTTCAAAATTTTAATTGTTTATCCAGATGCATGTCAGAAACCACAGACACATGGGTAAATATATGTTGCAACAGTCTGAATTCCGATGAGATCATGACTTACGAGTAGAATCAATAAAATCTTTAAAAAAGAAAATATCTTCAAGATATCATATTTTGTGGGATATTATCTTCAAAGGTATGGAATCTGTGGGAATTCGTTTCTTTTTCTGCTATTTCTGGTTTGTAATTAAACCGTTTGTAATTAAACCTGGAAAGGACCCAGTTAATATGATATATAAGTTCTAAATGAAGAGGCTTTCAAGCTGATGAACCGATCATATTTCAGGTTGGACAGCAAACCCGAAAAACCTTTTTTTTTAGTTAATCTCAAATGCATCAGAATAGTTTTTCACATATTTCACTCCTGGAAATAAGTTTTTGTTTTTTTTTTTTTTGTCAGATAAGCTACAGCAAGTATTATACTATATAAATTGACTGAGTCATCAAATCTTGGGTATTTGTCACGCCTTGTCCGGTTTCAGGTTGAAATACGTATTTGGCTTTGGCTTAATAATAAGAAAGGGTCTTTGTGGCAACTGAATTATGTCCGTTAATTTGTGTCTCTCTATCTGGGCTTATGTTGTTGCTGGTTCATTCTATATTTAGGACCAATTATTTAGTGTACAACCATCAGTGAGGGGTCATCTCTTCATCAGGAGCTGCTCGTTGCATATTTGAGCTGTCATTTAATTAATTTAATTGAGCGAAAAATGCGAAATGCGCCCAAAAGTGTTTGTAAAATTGTGAGGGGACCGTTTCAGCTTCATTCTCTTGCTGTCTGCTGCTTTTTGTAGCCTACTTCGGGGCGGCTTATTAGGCTAATTGCGTAAAGTTGGCTTTAATGAGTCGAAAAACGGTGCCAAGCCTGGCCACAAAAAGCCACAAAGCAAACGTTGTTGTTGTTGTTCTTCTTGTTTTTGTTGTTGTTGTTGTGCTGTGGGCTTTGAATTTATGACACGGCTTTAATGGGTTAACTGGGTTAATGCTCATCCCTCATCATGAACCGTTATGCTCACCCTTGGTGACTTTGCGGTCTTTGGGATAGTTTCCCCTGCAGCAACAGCCTCACCAGCAGCAGAATCAGCAACATAAATTTTGACAATTAAGCAAACATTTGGCGCCCAGCTCCGCCAAGTTGGCAACTGGGCGAATTTCTTATTAAGCAGCACACACTCCAGCTTAAGCATTATGCAGCTGCTAAGCCAAGTTAAGCTCAGCTGAGCTGAACTGAACTGAGCTGAACTGAGTTGAGCAACTTAAACCAAGTATCTCTCAACACCGCTACATTTTGCACAAGTCATTAGGCCAACAAAATGATAATTTTGAAGCATTTTTGCATTTTCCAATTTGCCGAATACACTACATAAGCGAATAGTTTCCCAAATTGCTGATGAAGTTGGCAACTTGTGAGTGAGAGGGGTCTTGCAGCAAATGTATTAAATTTGCAAAGAACTGCTGACGATTGCTTGGCTAGAATGCTTGAGTGGGATGAGTGGGATATTGATATCTTTCCGATATGTTTCTAATTAAAATCAAATTTCACAATCCATAATTTGTCAAACTTAATATATTCAAGGATATTCCGGTTTTTAATCAATTCTTAACTTTAAGAATAATATTATTTTTGCTAATGGGATTTTTTGTGTTGGAAGATTTTATATTTTAATTTAAATAAGTAAATAAATAGTGTCTAATACTTTTTTTTTAATGATTATAGAGTATTTATTGGTTGGTTACTTTAAGTTGAACCGCCAACTGTTCCCTATGCGCACTTAATGCGGCGGTGCAAATGCTTTTGAGTTATCAGTTAGGGTTCCATCTTGGGCTGAGGTGCGGATGGAGTGGGGGTGTTAAGCGCTCGAGTGCTGGAGTGCAGCCAAATGAATTTGCTAATGAGCAATCAGGCTTCAAGAATATGAAATTCGTTTTTATCATATTTTTGTGATTTAATTTTCATTTTTCTGAGAATTTCAAGTTGTGCGCTTAAAGAGACCAGTCGAATGCCAAAAGTCAACCAGCCAAAAGCTGAAGTTGATGCGACTGCGACTGCGGCTGAGGCTGTTGCTGAAGGCTGTGTTAACGGCTAAAAGTTAAATGGCTATTCGGTCGCATGCCACGCCTCCTGGCAAAAGCGACCCCCGCGGCGTTAATCATTTACAGCGGCAACAAAGACCAAAAATCAGACCGAATTATGATTCTATACATATATAGGAGACCGAAACGTGGAAATTAGCGACGCTGGACGTTCGGTCAGTTGCCAAGGCAGCGGCTATTTTCATTCCTATTTCCACTCCCACTGCCACACCCATTTTTATATTACCATCTTCATCATCATGCGCATTTTGCAGCCACCTTCTTGGCTTGGCTGCAGCCCAACAACACAAAAAAAAAAAAAAAAAAATCATTTTTGGCGGCATTGGGGACCGTGTCTAGAAAGAATTGCAATTGTGATAAAATTCAGCGTAACTAATGCCGACCACAGCAAAATGCGATAAATTGCCGGACGGGTGTATTATACTCTTTATCTGAAGTCTACTCCTATTTTATTGGTTCTTTTGTTAACCTTAATAAAGTTTTAAAGTCTCAAAAATAAAAAAATTGTCTAAGGGAACAGTCAATTACATTTCTTAGTTCTGTAATAATATTTATGAACTGTCATTTTTTTTTTCTAAATATTTTATTATTATAGGCTAGTTCAGTTTTATGTCCTTATCAGTTTAATTACTATTATAGGTGTCTGTTTTTATATATATAAATATGAATTATTATTGGCATTTTAATATTTGCAATAACTCCTCTTATTTTGATGCACAATTTCATTTCATGGCAGTTTCGTTTCGCTTTTCAAACTTAGTTATTTATTGATTGATTACTTCTATTATTTTGCTTTTATTTATACTCAGATATATTCGGAATCCGACGACAATCAGCACTTGACCAGCGAAAACAAATTTAAGTTTTTGAACTTGTATTGAGATCTTCTGAGTGGTTCATATATTCAAAGGCTGCATTCTCTCTGGTCAATGATTTAAGAAGAGTGTTTAATATTCGTCAAGTGCATTAAAAACGTTGTCCTTTCATGTCTATTTTATTTTTTTTTGTATTTGTTGGAGCTATTTTGGGGTGTCGCCTTCTGCGGTCGTCATGGACGGTTTGTTCCCGGCTAAAGTTTGGCGACTTCTTTCTCATTTTTTTGTTCTTTTTGTATTTAGTTGATTGTCGCTTTCTGTGTACATTTTTATAGCATTGGCTCTTGCCTTGTTTTGTGGCTGTATGAGAGATTCAGTTGCTGGAAATGATAATTTTCACTTGAGCGCGCACGTGAAAATGGCCAAAGCGAATAGCTGCGAGGGGGCTGATGCTGATGGGGGTGTGCCTGATGTGGTTTTAGCTCTGCTATAAATTGCCAATTAATGGCAGAGTAGCGCTGCGGTGGGTTTCATTTGCATATTGCTTCGCATTGCTCCAAATACAAACACCCACACATACACTCACAAATATTATAGGATATGCGATTGAATGCCGATTTCTCTTCTCTTCTTTGTTTGTTGTTTTTTTTTTTTTGCGTTTGTCACCCACTCGGCGTATGCTTAATTTTTGGGCACATTCTTTTCGACTGTTTTTGTTTTGGCCTGTCACACTTCACTGGTCAGCGAGTCGCCATTTTGTTTTAGATTGTCCAGCGTTCAAATGCATTCAAATGCAGCTCGGACTAGGTCCGGTCGAGCGTCGTGCTAAATTCGTTGCGGTTTTTGTGGTTTTCCATCCGTTCTGCTTTTGCCATTGGCTTTTTGTGTCATTTCAAAAAATAAATACAAAACGGCAGCGGTCCAAATTTAGTTCATTTTCAAATTGAAGCAAAAACATCGAATGAATAATTGAGCTTGTGATCAAATATGTATGAATACACTGGTTATGTGATGAATGTGTGTATTCAAAGCTGACCTCTACTCATTACTTCGTGCATTTTAAATCTTAGCTTTTTCAGATTTGGTTTTGTTCATATTTAATTGCCATATTCTTTTGTTCACTTTTGAATTTAAGACCATGATCTATTATTTTCTATTATTCGGACTCCGTTTTACAAGGGAATGTAATCTTTGATGTGCCTAAGATCTTTGCTCTTTGATCATCTCTTAATCATCTCAGTTCATATGCATTCATTTACCTATCCGCCTAACTGACGCTTTTTGGCTGAAATTTGATGCGAATGCTAATCAAATTTATTTATCATCGACACTGGTTTGTTATTGTGTTTGTTGTTGCTTGTTAAATATGTGAGAGTGGCGCAGACACGTAAATTATGTGCACATCTATACTATACTCGTATATAACGCATACGACGCGTTCGCTGCTATCTAAATGTACATAAAACCGTCTAGGCCAATACCGAACAAATAGCCAAAGCAGCAGCAGCAACAACAACAATTTGGTTAGGGGCAGTGGATAAACTAGGCATATTATTAGAAGCCATAGCCATGAATTCTACAAATACTACAACAAATTACTGTTTATTTTTCACACAACACACCCCCAAAAATGTCAGCTTGGGATTGAGTGGGTGTTTTAAGATAAGCCCAAAAACAGACAGCCAGATTGGTATATTCAGCTTATGCATGTCGCATGTATTGGCAAATATATTTATTTGTATATATATTGAACAAATTGGCTTTGCATGAGTAAAACTGAAAATTAAAGCAGTCACCTCTTGGCCAGTTCAATTGCATTCGCTGCTTATGCATATTTATATAATCTGATGCCGGTATAAGAATATATAATTTATAGATCGGCATTAAGATTTCCTGATCACGCCCACCATCTCCACTATTCCAGGTCCGACTCCAATGTTCTCACATCTTTCTTCTTGGGCATTTGAAAGTATGTTAAATTTTGATAGTTTCTCTAATCGCTAATCAAATAGTATAATTTTTGTATATTTATTTTAACATTTAAAATGAAGAATTTTTAAAAAAATATCAATGCTTGGCTTACCATTTGATTTGTATACCTTGCTTTCAGGCAAAGTAAATATTGGAAAAGCGTTTTAAAACAAATTCAAAGCCATCAACAAGAATTTGAATAAATAAATTAAGAGTATTCTGATTATTGTATTTTGCAGTTTATTTTATTTCTGCTTGCTGTTTGTTGTTCGCAAGAAATACAAACACCAAATGCACTGCAACAAATATTGTGTTAACGTTCACATAACGGCATAATATGCCCAATTGGCCAATTAAAGGAGATTTTTTTCGCTTTGGCTGCTGCTTCAGAATGTCAATAAAAATATGAAAAGTAATTTAATAAATTAAATAAATATAAGTTTATGCACAAATACATTTCATCGTCTGTCTCGGACAGCAAATAACTGAAGCAGAGTCCCCCTCCTCCCCCTCCTACCCTTCCCCACCCCAATCCGATCAATGTCGATGCTTTAATAACAATTTGCGTCGCAATTGAGCTGCACTGCGTGCCCGGACCGAAGTGCATGGAATTAAAATTAGTTTATTTGAATGCATTGGCCCAATGGATATTGGACACTGCCAATCTGCAGTAGCATACCCTAGCCAGTAGCATGCCCCAAACACCCCAAACACTCCAAACTCACCACATGGCTATCCACAACCAATGCTTTAATTGTTCGCTGTGTTCATTGCTCATACGCCGCATTGGCCCCATCGGCAATTTGAGTGTATTGCTTGCATTCAGTTTATCGCCTGCATTGTTTGCTATTTGGTCATGGTCTCTACTTCACTTTACCCCTCAACATGTCCCACCCCTCTCTCGTACCTCATCCTGGTGTACATTGCCTATGGCAGCCTATTATTATGCCGCTGCTGTCTGTGACAATATTTTACGGGTTACTTGATTTACTGTTTATTTATTGTTATTATTGAGTTGAGATTTTTTTGTGTTGTCTACAACGTTTGCACTACGTTTCACAAAAAAATAAATAAAATCAAACACACACAAACAATGCCGTTTTAATTAAAACACCAAACAACAAAAATAAAATACATCATTTATTTTAATACATTTTAGGTCACACTTTAAAATCAGCACATTTATTAATGAAATGTGCTCAAAATTTGTTGTCTAAAAATATATTTATTAGATAATATGCTAAATGAAATGCATACTCAGCGTCATTGTCGTTGCATTTGATTAATGGCCAACTAAATAAATTACGTCAGTTTATTTAGTCAACGCATAAGCAATGAAAAACCATAAAAAATAATAGATGGCCCATAAAATGCCTCCATAAATTGTGCAAACTTGTCAAAATCAAAAGCGCGGAAATGTCAAATTAGATGGTTATTGAAAAAGAGCGAAGTCGCACACCAAGTACCACATACAATATAAAGGCCGAGTCTCTCCCCCACTCAAACCCCCCTATATTGACGTTGACTAAACAAATGGGCAATGCACTTGCCAACGTGTGGAAGTGCGACAGATATCGAGTACATTATTTATATATTTTTTTGTTTATTTAACAATTATTAACACGCTGAGCAGTGCTATGGCCAAGCCCAGAGATTGTTGAGCATTCGTTGTTGGGCTATTATTACAGGGTATCAGACCCAGCTTGGAGGTGCAAACACAGGCCTCAACCTGCATGCCCGTCGAATGCTTTTGCCGGTAGCAGCCATTTGTGCTGTTCACCTTGGCGCACATATAAGTTATGTTTTGAACTAGAAAGCAGAAAGCAGAAAGAAACTGAATCTCAGTTAAGTTGCACACATGCCAAGTTGGTGCAGGGTATAACAAATAAGATAATACTCACTGCCGCCCTTGAATATGTACGAGTACTTGACACACGATAAACCGGGCGACATCTGGCACAGATATTTATCACGGTTCAAAGTCTCGTTCTGCCACAACGCCTTTGCATCTGGCACCGTATCATTGACTAGATAAATCAATATATAAATATTTATATATATATATATGTACAGCAATATATAAATGAATATATAAGTCAACTACATACGGGTAGCCACCAATGGCATTTCACAGGGTATCTCATTGAAATCACCAACTCTTGCCTCGCAGGTTTCCTTGGCAATGTTCGTCTTGTTCGCATAGGGTCCTATCCAGGTGAAATGAAAGCATTGTGGCGCTGTGAATTGAGTATAAATGAATCATATTCATTTACATGCACTTGCCACAATTCACCAACACTCGGCTTCCACAAATTTGAACAGCAGTAACGGTAGCAACAATATACACAGCCGCGGTAGCATTCCAAATAAGATACTTCCTATATTGATAACTTTTCACAGATAACTTATATATCTATAAATTTTATGTATTTTCTCCTCTTCTTCTTCTGATTTTTTTTTTGGGACAAGCGCTGCTGTTGCCACTGCCACACACAAAGTGATATTGGCGGCGCATTCAATAACCTGACGATAGTCAATCTTATCATTTACCTTTGAGTACCATTGAGATTTTTTTTATTGGTTGTTAAAAAGTTCGAGTGTTTAATGTGAGAGTGTTTTCTTTTTTTTTATTTGTAAATTACATTTTTATTTATTTTTGCACATGCGAGAACTGAGTAATAAAGTTCTGGGTTTGCTTTAAAGACTGGTTTATAAATATTTCTTTTAGTTTTATATTTAAATTATAGATTGGCATATTGATAAATTATGTTGTTAACATGCGCTTTTGCTTTTTGAATAATTTATTTAATTTTTAGCTGCTTGAGATCTGATAAAAATAATATTTATATCTGAATATTGACTGCATATGATATCTTTTCTTTTGTGGCAAATCGAATAACTCCAAGAATAATTATTCTAATTGAAAAATGACATTATTGAGCTAACATTTTTATGTAGTTTCCGAGTCATTCGTTTGATGGCAATCAATGACCTTATCAGCCAACTTGTCAATGGGAAAATAAAAGAAAGTGCGATACAATTTAAATGAATTTTAAAATGCTGCGAAAACTTTGCGAAAACACCGAAACAAGTTGCCAAAAAAAAAGGAGGCAGGGAAACGAGGCCTTCAAAATCCCCTTATGCAATTTGTGTTTAATTAAATTTCCAGGAGGCAAAGGCGCAGTAGAGATGCCTGACAAACAATTAAATAACAGTTGCTAAAAATGTTGCTAAACTAAAGTCGGCAAATTGTATTTGTTGTTAATTGTCCGGTTGTCGGAGTTGCCCTCGTGCCTCTTGCACGAAATGAGTTTGAAAACAAATAAAAATGTCAAACGAATGAATAAAAGTTGTCTAATTTCATTTATTTAGCAGCAGCGGCATTTGGATAGCCAACACACACACACACATACACAAACACTCAAAAACTCATGTACTTACTGAGAAAACTCACGAATACACTCACGTATTTGAACAGTTGTGCAAATTGAATAAAAGTTAAATTTTTCCTATCGCTCTTCACGTATATTTCACTTGGCTTGTTTTTTGTTGTTTTTTTTTTTGTTTTTTTTTTTCTCGAAAATTTAATTTTTAATTGTTCAAAACAATTAGAATTTATTCGTAATTTTGCGGTGTTGTATGTGTGTTTAGAACTTTTGCCACAGCTGCCAGCCAGCTACGTGCCCCCAAAACTTTGTATTGCTTTTTGTACGAGTTGATTTTGTTTGGCAATGTTTAGTTGCAATTTGCTTTAAGCCACGTACTTAAACAACATAAATGCACACATACATCGATCAACACATTTTGACAACTTGTGTTACCTTTTGTATTTATAAAGAATCTACGATTCATTTTATACTCCAGTCACAAGTCGCGAAACACATCACAAAAGGCCACCTCAGCCAGCTATTTCCATCATCATCATTTTGTGAGGATTGCAGCCTCAATCCCCCTTTTTTTTTTGCCCAATGATTGATCATTTTTATTGACACGAACGTCATTAGCTTGAGGCGAAAAATACAAGAGAAAAAATAATGGCAACGGAAATTAGCGTTAGTCAGGCATTTCAAGCTAACATAAAGAAGCCAAATCCAAATAATTGAACCGTGACAAGGGCAACAAGAAGTCAAAACTTACCTTAGCAAAAATGCTGCTGCTTGTGGAAAATTTTAATAAATAAATAAATAGTGTAAATATTGAACGATTAAGAATTGAATTGGAAATCTACTCTGCAGTTGATTTTATGGCAAGAGGCTATAATAGTTTTATAAGATACTTGTTCACAACAAAACATAAACAGTCAGAAGAAAGCAACTCCAACCCCATAATATATATATAAATATATATATATATATATATCCACCATCTTTCTTATTAAAACTTGTTAAGAATTAACATTGAATACAGCTTCGGGACTTGTGGTTAATTGAATTGGCTGTGCTTATCTACGATTATTAATGTTCCATAATGTTATCATAGGCCTGGTAGCTTTTCCTCTGTTTCACAATCATAATATAAATTCCGTAAATTAGAGCTTAAGCTAATGTTAGAATTCATGATTAATGCTGTTATTGTTTCAGGCAGTTAAGCTTGCCAAAATATTCAATCTAGAAGAGCGCTGACTTGCTGGTGCTTAGCAGTTCTAATCTCTCTATTTTAGGATTCATAAAACTAACAGAATTTCGGCACAGGCTTCACCAGGCTCCATTCAGCTCATTAATTATGCAAATGCAAAATTTTTTGCGTCTTTTTTTTTTTGTTTTCTGGCCATGTTTCTTGCATACGGTTCCACTTTGACTCCAACGGAACGACAATACACCAAAAATTATGTCACCAAAATGCAAATGTCGCGACCAAAGCTTAACAGCGAACTGAAAGGGGATAACTGTTGGAAGGGGGGTGATTAGCACAAGTTTGGGATGCAAAAGTTGTTAACAAAACTAACAGCCAGTTGGCATATGAGCAACATAACTGGGCTCAACACACAAATGTTGCTCTCGGGTCTTCCTTCGGCTTCTTGGCTAATGGCGAGCCTGCATAAAATTTGCATGCGATTAAAATTGATAAATTGTGGCGAGGAGGTCGGTGTATAGGGGGGGTGGGGGCAGTCCCAACTAGAGAAGTCATTGGGGCTTAGGCAACTTAGGAAACAGACCTTGGCATGACCTACACATCAGCTGTCAATGGTTTTCAATTATGTGCCAGTTTCCGCTGCACACAAAAGCAGCTTAGGCACTACATTACATACACTGCGCGTAAAAGTGTGTTAAACGTGAATCTTACGCAGTTATTTCATTTTGCTGCTACTCTATTTATGAACGATGGCCACATTTTCGCACAGTGCACCGTAGCAGACTTTTTAAAGTGTTTGGTATATGTCGACTGGCTTGTAATTTTAATAAAGTCAGCTGCATGTTTTTTGGTGTTGGTGTTGGAGCTGGCTGTTGGTTGTTGGCTGGCAAACTGAGGGGAACTAGTCTTTGGCGACAGCTAAACCGATTTGCTAAATTACAAAGTTGCCGCGTCGCGTCCCTCTAATTACGTGTCGCCGCTGCACGTCCAGAGGCGGGTCATTATGTCACCTGTTCGAAAAATGGCGCACGTAAACCGGAAACGCTGTGCAAGTCGAGCGAGTGGAGCGAGTGGAGCGCTGGCGTAAGCGGACCCGTGATGGGGGTGAAGTGGCAGGCCAAACGGCTCATTGTGCGGAAATCGCATTTGGCGCTGATAGCACAAGCAGCGCCTAACTAACGACCAACTAATACGATTAGTGGCATAATGCGAGGGACTTAAGTGTGTCAATAATGTAGCGCTTTGTTTGCAACATCTTACAAATATCACCCACTGAGAGTATCTAGGGTATACTATAACAGAAGATTATCTTGGTAAACTTGAGAATATCTTGATATCTGCAAAACTGTTTATAGGCTATACTCCAAGAGTATAGTATGGTCTTGGTATGGTATAATTGAAGATTGTCTTGGTAAACTTGAGAATATCTTGATATCTACAAAACTGTATCTAGGATATATTACAACAGAAGATTGTCTTGGTAAACTTTCGAATATCACGCAATAAAATCAGAATGAAATTAACCAACTGAATTTAGAACCAGTATCAGAAACGAACATTCGACATTCGTTGATATTATGAAAGTGAATTCAACTGAAACTGAGATCATACCAGCATCAGAATTAGAACGAGAACCCGATCCGAAATTGGGTTCCGCTTCCCTGAAAGAAAGAAGTTTGTTGTACAAGAGTTTAAGTCCAAAGATCGTTTATTTGATAAAATATTACATTATTCAATCTACGCTGCTTGCTTATTTTTGGTTCATCTAACGCACAATCCGATCTTAATTTCAATTAATTTTGTTGGCTCTAATATTATTTGCAGCACTTGATGCAGGCCTTGAGCTCATTGCTTGCATTTACCAAGTCGTAGAACGAGTAGCGATGATAGCTGTAGTATTCCGGATTCTTGTAACGCTCACATTTGCCAGCCTTCGGGCCGAGTATCTCCCTTTTCGCCATGGGCCGAAACACTTTGGACTTGATAAACGGCGGCAGTTTGAACGTGTTCGTTGAGAGACGAGTGGGGGCATATCCATCGGCAGGTTGGCGATTATTTAACGGTTTCGGTCCCAAGCGGCAGACCTTCTTATCGTCTTGCTTCTTCTTGCAGTGCGCTAATCTTTTTGATCCATGGACACTATTTGCTTGCCTCAGCTTGGCTGAAATGAACGCCAAGCTGGAAAGCATTTTTTTTAATTTTCTTCGTAGAATACCTATAAATAAGACATAGAATTTTGACTCAACTAACAATTTGTAAGCAAAACCTGCTCAGATTTGAATTGTTTTCTGACTGTATCAGAGAATGTTTAGAGGCTTCCTCGAAGGTAAAACAAATTATATCCATTTGATGACATTCCTAATGCTGCCGTCGTTAAAACTTTGCAGTAATCATAGTTGAGAATAGCCGCAAAGCTGATGTAATGAGAATAGTCAAGAAGATTTCAGTGCGATGCTTAGATACGCCATCACACACACGATAGGATAAGCCAGTTGGAAACTGAAAGTCGACCCAGTTTGGATCAGGCGTAAGGCAGTTTAAGCCAAAAACACTAACACACATTGAATTATTTCGATCATTAAACTTATTTCTCACTTAAAATCCAAGCGCTTTGTTGTCATTGTCATTGTTGTTGCTTTTGTTGCTGCTGCTGCTTAACTTTGAGGGCGTTGAGATAAATGCTCAACACTATCCCAGAAACGTTAAACCTCGACAATCAGCCCGTGCCCACCCACAAAGTAAAGTTTTTAAAACTAACAACAACAACAACAAAAGCAAGCGAAAAATGGCAATAAAAATCCTGTAAAACAACAACAAAATAAACGTTGAAGCACCGGAAAATTGTCAGCTCTGCGAGAAACACGAAACACGGCGCAGGTTCACTTGAATGCTTTTTAATACACTGACACAAGCACAAACACACACACACACACACACATACACACATATATATATATATATATATATATATATACGCAACCCAACAAAGATGGCGCACATAACGGTACGCTGGCGGCGTCACCATTGCGGCTTGTAAATTTATAGTTTGAGTAAAGAAAATCGCGTCGGTGTAAAAGTTTTTAGTGGGTCTCTTCTGCGTGCGAGACTCGCACAAAATCCGAATCAGAGCCAAATAAATGGCAACGTCGCCGATGTCATCTAATTGCTTTTGTTTTTGGGTAGAGGTGGCAGCAGCAGCAGCAGAGTCAGTCAGCCAACCAGCCTAACCAAAAATACACTGGCACTGCTACCCTTGCCACCACACCAACTTTGACCGTACACCACATAACTGACCTCGGTACAGTTGTGCAGAAAAGGTTATACAGTTGCGGAAGCTCTTTCGTTAAGGTAATTTTCCGCCATAATTTGTATAACTTTGTTGTGTGTGTGTGTGTGTTGGTGTGTGTGTGAGGGGGTGTTGAAAGAAATTGTTGAAAGTTTGCTGCAATCAGTTCTGTGGGTTCCGTTGAGGTTCAAGTTGAAAGCACTGTTAAGTGTCGTTCTACTTAAGGAAATTACGCTATTGTTATCGCCTACTATACGATTGGATAAATACTCGTATTATTATTTTTTCAGCCATATAATTAAATGGGCAATCGTTTCAAAAGTTTTACCATCAACAAATTTGTGCAAAATTAAAAATGTTTCCAAGACATAAAAGTGTACAAAATGATTAGCAACCTTAAGTTAATTTTGTGGAAAAGCATTAAAACATTTTTCAGGCATAAATAGCACAAAAATAGTTTATATTTCTGCGAAGCTGATATGTTTCCTCAATTTTTTCTATTTTCCTACGATGTTCTTCATATATCACCCATTGTCCAGTGAAATATGAATTTGTTAGCCACTTCAGGTATTTCAAAATTTCAACACTTGGAATATATGGAAATTGTAAGACGGTTAGTCAAAGACAAAACTTAGCCACTTCTGTTAATTAAGTTGGTACAAAGGATGTTATGTAGATCAGTGTAACCCAACTCGAAGAACTTTTGATTGTGCTCAAAGATTTTCTCGGGATACTTGGTGACTTTCAATGTTTTGATGTCGGCCGTAAAACTCGGTTGCATTTGAGCTGCTGAGATTGCAGCTATCCTTATGCAAATTCAGCGGCGTTTTTGGCTTAAGGAACGTGAACTTTCCATTGCTTTGTGTCGTTGTGGTAAGTTTGGTGCCAGTTTTCACAGCTAGGTATGTGATTACATGGGCTCACAATGCTAACAACAATAACAAGAATGACTTAGGTAAGGCTGGCAGACTATGAGATACCCCGAGACAGGATATCCTGATGTATAGGATAAGTAGATACTTATATTGGTGACAGGAAGTTGATTTAATTTCATTTAAAAATACTTAATACAAAATGAGATTCTTCCACGGCTCGCTCAAAACAAATTAGTTGCCTAAATAATATGCTTTTTGGATGTCCACTTTGAACAAGAACAGAGTAGAAGAAATCGGTGGAACATCGCTGTCTCTGCTGAGTATTCGTACTCGCTGTCGTATACTTATTTGGCTGGGTGCTTAATTAAAATGCGCAGGCATTGCGAGCGCTTCATTTGGCTGGCTTAATCGGCTGCTGCCGCCACTGTTGAGATTCGTATCGGCCATGGCCCAAAACCGCGGTGCCACGCCCACAATTCGCGTCTCGACGCTGTTCCTTTTGCATGTAAAGTGTCAAGTTTTTCATTATAATTTGCATATTTTTCGCCAACGCGTAAACTTTTCGCCCACCACCAACACTCACCACGCCCCTTACTTACTTACTTACCACTGAAGGTCTGTGCCTTGTAAATGACAACAATAAGCATTATGGCATCAGGCTGAATAGTTAAAAGGACTCTGGCCTGGTAAACATACATACATATATATATATATATATATGTATAGTACACTCGATCTGCTAGATACACAACATGTAGCTTTTTAAGTTATTTTCAAGTTTAATTTTTTGACTCTGTGGTGCGTTTTTGTTTCACTGCCCCTTCTCCCCTCCTCCATGCCGCTGCCGTTGCCGTTGCCGTTGCTGAGCCGTGGCGCATAATCACGCGAAATCTGAAAACGTGTCTTGTATAGTAATGAGCACTGATTACAACTTGAAATTGTGTGTGAAAGTACAGTTGTGTGCGCAAGTTATGCTACGTGGCGTACTCCTCAAAAAACTTGTCAGGCTTCTTTCAACTTTTGACGCTCAGCGCCCCAAAAACAAAAACACAAAATAAATGAAAATTTTATGAAATTTGGAACTCAAGTTATATTTGCGAGTTAAGCGCGGTGCTTTGTTGCAATTCCTTCTGTTGCTTAAATAAATATAAATAATAAATAGAAAGGCATCAAATTATTTAAAAAATATAGTATCTGTGCTGTGTTGCTGATAATATTTTAAGCAACTTGAAGAAATAATATTACTTTCAAGTAACAGGCTTAAGAGAGTCATCGAAAATGTGTATAAAAATATATTAAATAAACTAAAAACTAATAAGTCAATTAAAATAACTATGATTTGTGGCAGTGATACGACTTTAAATAAAGTTGTCTAAGCGATTTGCAATTGTATTACTAAGTGTACATTTTAAGCTCTAACTCTGCACTTTTCTGACTCAAGTCATTTCTGTTTTTAAGAAATTATATTATTAAGTATACATTCCAAAAGGTACCCCTTTTGTTAAGCACTTTTCGTTAGAATTTTTCTGTCGGCTACTGTAAGAGTTCGTCTGTCAGACCTCAAAATACCATTTGATGTGTATTTAAACTTAAAATGATGTCTTCTTAATCAACTACCGAGTCAGCGTCCAGGCAAACGACCGTCAAGCGTCGATGGCTTTTTCCTTGTAACTTCTCCACTTTGCCACACGACTCCTCGTCGTCTACTCCAACTTCAGTTTCAGCTTCAGCGTCAGCTTCAGCTGTGAGCCCAAGGCTGCCGCCACAGTATTGTGCCAACATGCATGCCACGTTCACCCACCGAACGTGTCAATTCGGAGCTGGTTGTCTGTGTGTGTGTGTTAAGAGCCTGAAGGATATTATATAATGTGTAGTAATTTGAATGTGAAGTGGGCGGCAGGGAATGAAGAAGCTTATAAGACTTATACGTGTGTCGTGTGCTGCCTTTCGATTTTTCCCTCTTATGTCTTAAAAACATCAAAAAACTGTCACCCATCCTTTGCCCAGCTGTGTTTTTGTGTGTGAGTGTGGGGGATTAATGAGATTTTCTTTTATGGATTTATGATGATTATTTCTGTTATTAGTTAAGAGCGTGACAGAATCTGAGACAGAAATTTTCGATTTTAGATTTTCGTCTTGCGACTGTCGACTGTTTTTTGTGGCGGCCATTTCGATGGTATTTTAAAGTAATCCATTGATATATGGCCAAGTTGCGTGGCTTCTGTTCCGGCGACTGCGACTGCGACTGCTGCTGCGACTGCTGCTGATGCTGCCTCTCCAGTTACTCATTTTTTAAACGCACTAAATCACAAAAATTGCACGACCCGCGCACCATTAGCCTTTGCTTATTTATGGCAACGCGCCATTCAATGACAATTCAATATATTTTACATGCCTGGGCTCCCCATACCAACAAAAAAAAAAAAGAAAGAATAAAAACAGACTGAAAGCTGTCTTTTTAGTGCCCGGCGGTCAATTTATATACCCTTTAAAATTTTCATAATAAAGGGTGTCGGAAACATATATTCCTGAATAATAATGTTACACAAAAATTAAAATACTTTCAAGTTCTTTATATATGTTTATTCATGATCATCAATCTCTCTCGCTCTCCCAACTATTTCAATTACTTCTTTTTGTATTTGGTTTGACTGAAAATATATTTTTTTGTTGATAAATTAAGTTAGACAACGATTAAAGATCTGCTGCAGAGTATCTCTTCGTCGAGCACTTGCTCTCTCATTCACTCTCTCTATCTCTGTTTCTCCCTCTCTCTCTCCCTCCTAACTATAACACTCTTTCTTGTTTTTATATATATATATTTTTTTTGTGGTCGCAACGCCGGCCATTTGGCCTGGCCAGAAAACAAATTCCGCAATCGTCGCACACAATAAACCATTACAGACGATTAATTTCATTATCCGCGGGTATCGAAATCAAAAAATACCATTCGATTTATGCGTGCAGCCGCAGCATCAACAGCAACAGCATACAGCATACAGAAAGCGAATGCAATTGTCATAATTTGTTTTCCCTTTTTTTTTTGCC